ATTCTTTACTTTCTTAGGCGAACTTAAATCAGAAAGCATGTTGATTTGTGTAGAAAAATTATTTTGATTTATCATAGATATCTTTTCTTCGATTATGTTTGTATAAGAAAGGTCTATAGAGCTTAAAACATTATTGAAGTACTGGGAAGTATTGGTAAAAATGTTTTTAACTGCTGTATTTGTGCCGATTTCCATTTGATAATTCTGATCAATAAAATTTGCACTTTTTGTGTTTTGAATTAGCTCTTCATTATCTTTACTCGGTATTGACAAAAATTTATCTATTTCGTAAGTATGTTGGGATGCCGTTCATATATACGATAGCCATCTAAACGGGGTTTTGAAGTCCTTTGTTTAGGTCCGACCTCCAAATTATTTTCTATCTGCATTTTATCATTACATGATAAACTTTCAAATATTTTATTTTGTTGTGTATTATCTGCTGCGCTATAAGTGTTACATAAACTACTGTAAAGTTCGTTATTTGAATGATTCATATTAGAATCGTAAATGTCCGCTGCATAAATCAATAAAACGCAAAAAAACATTTTTAGGGGCTATTCCTTTTTTCTAATTTATTTAAATATAAGAATTCTAACTACTTAGAAATTTTATTTAATAGACATTTTTGATTGGAGATAGTAGTAATAGTTCTAATGCCACACAACACTTTAAATATTTTTTTGTAACAGTATTAATTTTATGACTATAATAAATGTAAAAAATAATTATTAATTATTTAAATAATTGAATAAATTAAAATTCTCGGATTTTAAAAATTCAAAAATGGAATTAATGCGTTATGTTATTTATCGACAAACAAAAAATGTTACGTGTTTACACCAACAAATTAAAAATTGCATCAAATATAAATAATTACTCCCAATTATATGTTATTAACAACTTAACCATTACTAAATTAACACAAAATCGAAACGTAAACTTATAATATTAAAAGCGGGAAACTTGGTTTTATAAAGATTGTTACTTTGAAAAATCAATAGCAAAAAAAGTATTTTGTTAAATTTTTAAGTAGTTTCCTATTTTCTTTATTTTTTATATCAATTTCTTCAATAATCATTAAATTGTAAAATTTTACAACCAGTTTTACCTTATTAAATGGAAATATTTCCACAACAATATAGACTAAAGTATTTTAATGTTAATGAAATACCACTCTTCTTGTGTGTGCATTATTATCAACATCTGGCCTAATTAAACTCTATCATTCAACTTATAGAGAGGAAGATTACTTCTACATCTACTCCTTTCAATCGTATGACCTGCAGCTGTTTTTGTTGATAATCTTGCGTTTCTTACATAATCAATTTTTCCATAGAATTACCAACAGTTATGTTCTCTAGCTATTACTATTTTATAAATTCTAGAATTAAATTATCTAAATTTAAAAATTTAATAATATCTAAACTAAATATTTTCTTCTTCCTCTATACGTTCAATTTCTAAATCATTGATTGTTGAAAGTATAAATTATTTGATCGTATGCTATCAACTTCCTTATACGAAAACGGACATTAAATTTAACGACGTAGTCGAGGCTGTAGAGTGTCGAAGTCTATTATAAGAACAGGTTGCATCTTCTTTTACTCGACATTCATTTACTTGGGGTATTTATTGTTATTAGCATAGAATCAATTATCCATTTTATTATTTGATCGGCTCTTTCTACTTGTCCTTGGATCCAAAAACATTTGGCACTACATATATCATGTCTTACATCAAAAGCACAGAGCATATTAGACATGAAATCATTTAAAATTCTCTTTTATCATCTGTATGTAAAAGAAAATGGGGCTCATTTGACAAAAAAATGATCTTATTATAGGAACTACAGATGACGCGGCCTTTACATCCAAAGGAATTATTTATATAAACTTAGAAAATGAGCCTATGACGACATGCATCTACACATACCCATCATTTGCTTCTTTTTAATATCTAAAATCTACTAGATTGGCAATATATCATTCTCTTAGAAGTCTAGAAATAATGAGTCTTATAACAGATCTTGTAATCATAGCTCTTCATGCCTGACAAATTTCTCAAAAAATCAGCATTTCAGAAACCTCATCTCGCAAAACTCCATGTATTACTTGACTTACATAAATTATATAGCCTATCTCGATCACATGAAAATTACTAACATGAAACAATTTAAGTTGCTCTTTTTAAAACTTTTCCCGTTCTAAAGTTAAAAATTTAATCAATTATTTTTTAATTTCAATTAAAATTTTTTAGCTTTTTTAGCAGCAGAAATTTTTTTTTAAGTATTATTTTTGTTTTTGAGGTTAAAACCTAGCGAGAAATATGTTGTTAATAATTAATTTGAAGATTTTTTTTTAATTTATGCAATTCTATTTTAATCTAGGAATTAAACTAAAAGGTGGTAAAAAATAAAGACTTATAAATATAATAACAAAAATGACTTATTTTAAAATGATTACTAATTTTATAACACATTTTATATGTTTCTATGTTCAAAGATAAAATTGCAGTAGAATCTAAATAAGGTTGCTTCTTAATGGACGAGGTCCTTATAGAACTACAAAAATATATAATATTTAATCTTTTTATAACCTAGCTCTTGAGAGCATCTAAATTAAATACCGGAGACGAGACGAGACAGCATAAGCTGAAGAGATAGATTAATAAATTACTTTTTGCACAAAGCCCATACTATCATGACCAGAAAAAAAGGATAACAAATTTAATCCTCATATAAACAATTTATAACTATCTAATTAATTCTTGCAACTATTTTTTATAAAATGTTTTTTACGCATCATAAATATTTGTTAAAATACTCAATAATTTTATAATTTATTTTCAATTGAAAAGATTGTTGCAATCTATTCATGTTAGGTCTTTTCTTTATAAAAGATCATAATTGTATCAATATTATTGATTACTGATTGTTAATTTAAGACACTGTTTTAAATATTAATATCTAAATTAAGTAATATTGAGGTCATGTAATTTCTAAAGATATACAAAAATTTTCTATCTTTCACATCGACGTGAATCATTGCGTACTGATGTATTTAAGCGATTATTAGCTCTATTCTAATAAGTGGCATATGTTAAAAGAAAAGAGAATTTTATTTGCTTTTTTAAAACAACTTAAAAATATTAATATTTTGCAAAAACCTTTGTGGTTCTTTGTAGAAAACTTTATATCTCAATATTTTTTCATGCTTTTGGATATTAAATTTTTGTGTTAATAAGTAATAAATAAAATATAAAAAGTGCTAACATTAACATTAAATATCTTGCGACTGCATTTTTGAAAACAATAAAAAAAACAACAATATCAATAATGTTGTAAAATACCATATTTTTTATTAACTTCTTTTAAATTGGACTTTTCTTGAAAAAATAAATTTTTTATTTTTTTTAATACAAAAAAAAATAAAAGAAAGAAGTATGAGTAGAGTGGAGAACGGTAATAACCTTATTATAAAGAAATTTTATGATAGCAACAAGCATAAATAGCCTTAATTAAAATTGTTTAGAAATCTATATTCATTTGGGCTTTAGCTCTAACAACAATTTCAAACAGCAAAAAAAGTTCTGATTTTTCAACAAATAAAAAATATTTGACGATTTAAGATTTTATTACAGATTTCAATAAGTGTTGTAAATTCCATATTTATAAATTACCTTAATACTAAAAAGTATTGTTTATTACAAGTAAATTAATTTACCCGTACTAAAAAAATGTTCTTAAAAAATTTTAATTATTAATCTTTCTTTTTTTAAAAGCATCTCTCAATTTAATCAATCTTCTATAAAAAAAAACAAGTCTTCTTTTGACATTATTAGATAACTTTAGAACTTTACAAAAGTTACAATTGTCATGACGAAAAAAGCCATTGTTAATCACTTGTAAAACGTCAAAATGTAAATAATAAATTGATATTTTTTGTAAAATGTCATCATAAAAACTAAATTTATCATATGCTAGATCCAGTAATGCTATAAAATCCTGGATTGATTTTTGTTTTGTCCTTATATAAATTGCACATATAGTATCTAAAAAATTTGAAAGGCTGGTTAAGGCAAGAATTACTTTGTGCTTAAAGTCACTAGGTAAATTGGTTTTTTTTAGTTTTTCCCTAAATTCTGGTATTTTTTTTTTAATGATTGGTTTACAAAATTTTCTAAAAAGATATTCATCGGATTTATATAAATTATAAAGTTCTCGCTCATTAGCTGTAAAATGATAAAAAAGCAATAATTTATTATTACTTCTTTTTCTTTTAAGTTCTAAAGCATTTTTAACGTTATCTACTCGAATATTAGATATAATGTTTACATTTGATTTTTTTTCTTGCTTTTTAGCGTTGTTAGCATTCTTGTAAGCATTATTAAACATAGTCCTAGATTCGGTGTTTATATCTATCAATGAACTATTAACACTTGACGATGTATATATAGAAGCTCTATCTGGTCCATTTATATAATAAGTGTGATTTACTGAAAAAACACAATCACTTGTCTTTAAAAAGGCATTATTTTCTAAATTGGCACATTGTCCTTGCGGTAAATCATTTTGAGTTGTACAAGAAAATAAATTAGTATTATTGTCGCAAGATGTATTTATGTGGGAGTAATCCACTATATCATTTTGACTATTTTTGTAATCTTTAAAATTAGTAGTGTCATAAACAGAATGTTCCATCGTAAAATTTTGTTTTTCACATTTCGTAGTACCAGATGTATTATCTATGGAACTATGTGGCATACAATCTCTTTCTGAAGTTATTGAAGATAAATAGTTACTAAAATCGCATTCTAAATTCTTGCGTGCTTTATCATAACTTCCGTCGATAAAACATGCCGATTCATTTAAAATATTAAAAATGGATAGAGGTTCATATAAATTTTTATCTTCTGTGTAGATCCGTTCTCGCATCTTTCTTTGTGTATCTTTATCTTCACAAAATTCTTTAATCTCAAATATTTTTGTGTAATCTGATGCATTCTCTAAATCTACCAATAAATCAAAATCTAAAAATTGAATTGAACAAAAGGTTGTCTGCAACCAATATAGCATTTAACGGTTCAAAAATTTAAAAAATAATTGTTTAAAACTTAATATATAAATATATGTTTTATTTCTTTTCTAATACATTGCATTGAGTACATCATTCTTATAATAATTGACAATCCTTGATGTTTAGTTAAAATTAAATGAAATGCAATGGAAAAAATAATACTTTCAAAATGCAAAAAATACAATTTGAAACTGTCATACCTCTCAAGAACTGACTGACGGTATTCAATGAAAGAATATTTAATTACAATAAAGATTTAATTTTTCAGAAAACAATGAAATCATTTTATGAGTCATAAAAATATTTAAAGAAAATTTTAAATAAATATACATTTTCTATGGATGTTTTATCAAAAACAAGTCTATATATCTTTCATTCTAAGAAAGCCGCACCATTTTACATGGGCACGTTTAAAGCTAACATATTTAATATTAAAAAAAAGAAAGATTTTTATAATTATGTATTTTTGTATTGTTTTTAAACAATACAAATAAGATTTTTCTCTGTCATAGTCATACTATGACAATAAATTATAATTTTTGTATAAAATTTAAGTTCCACAATCGCAAGAGTCAAAAAATGAATTTAAATAAAGAATTTTAATTGAAAGACAAGAAATGAATGATGATAACAAAATTAACAATTAGTCAGCCCAGAGCAGAAGTAGAACGCGGAACTTATTTAAGAAAAAGCAATAAATATAATTTTATGGAAACAAAAAGTATTATTAAGATTTATTTAAAACGGTGGTGTTACTCCCTTGGGCAGGTCATTCTTTAATGTGATTTAAAAAACTAGAGTCATTAAAAATAAATTTTTATGATCGTAATTGTCAATCACTTCATTTAAATTTTCCAAGCCATAATTTTGAGGAATATTTATAAAATTTTAATAGCCAATTATATTCGTAGCTTTGATGCTGAGTAACAAAGTACAATCTGATGGTTATGGCACTTAGAACATAAAAAATATTTTAAATCTGCATATTTAATAAAAAATTATTTACTATTTATTTCTATTTTAATGATGGAAAAAAAGCTAATGGGTATTTTGGAATAGAGAGTTTTGTCAAAATTTTATTTTTTTAGGCATTATGCCAAGGAAACCAGCATAAACAAGTATTTTTGATTTTTTATACAATTAGAATGACGCATAAAATATAAAATTTAATTTTAGAAAAATATTTTTATTGTTTAATCAGGATAATCTGGTTGTTTTGAGGAAACTTGCAGCTTTAAAGCTGTCAAAGCTGATCAAAAATATTCAAATATGCAGTTGTAGTCGGCACATGAGGCTTATTTAAAATAAAAGCAAAGTCGGGATACAGTTTGGCCATGTAAAGATAGTGGTTGTAAAAATACGCGCTCTGTTTGTTGGTAAACATACTTTGAGAATTCAAGTTTGTTGGGAAACATACTTTGAAAATTTAAGTTTGTCTTTTGAAACTGTTTTCCTATTGATGTATTATTGGCTAAAGGCTATTTTTAAAGCTATATTGGTACTGAAGCAAAGATATGAGAAGATACTACATCGAAATGGTGTGAATTGTTTCGTGATAGTATAACGATTCATTGTGTAGATTTTAATGACACCATTGGAGGTATTAATGATTATTGTCACCCAATAGACGTAGAAATTGACGAACCTCTGTTTTATAAAAGAAAAAGTAATCGAGGCAGGCCGTATTAATAATTTTATTTTTATTTTCTTTGGCATTGAACGAAATTCAAGAAGGTGTTTTTTGATACCTGTTCCTGATGTAAGCAGGAATATCCTAATGAGGATAATATCACAAAAATTTAGAAATGGACCAAGAATAATTTCTGATATGTGGTGAGCCCACCAAAATTTGTCCTACAATAATATATATGAAGAAGTAAATCATTCCCTTAATTTTGTAGATCCTACTGATCCGAATACGCGTACTCAAAATCTTAAATACATGTGGAATCATGCTAAAAAACAATTGCGCGTACATCATGATACCACAAAAAGACTTTTTTAAGAATATTTGATTGAATTTTCATTTAGATATTACTATTCACGAGAAAAGAATAAGATTTTCAATATTTTTTAAACATTTTGCGTAATATTGGAAATTAAAGTAAAATTTTTATTGTTCCTTTTTTATTTTTTTTTGATAAAAACTCTCTACTCCAAAACTCCCTTTTTAACATTTAATAAATTATTTAAAAATAATTAAAATAGCCTTTTTGTCACATTTGCTTTTAAGTTTTTTGTTTTATTATAATATTTTTGTAATAACATAGGTTTTATTTTTTTAATGGTTCTCACGTATAAAGAATTATTTATTCCATGAGTACAAAAATGCCTACGTCAAATTTTATATATTTTATAGCTAATTTTATTTAAATTGTGTGTAAACTCAATAACGACAGAATAGACATATTAGTAAAGATTATTGGTTCTTAAGATTTTACAAAAATTTATAAATTTAAAAAAAATAAAAGAAATACTCATTTATCACAAAATTTTACCGCCGAACATTTTAATGCTATTAAGCGATAGAAATTTAATGCAAATTTAAAGTAATTTTGTTTAGCGTATCAGGTTGATTTATTTAAAGTAGAAATTAATATAGCTTAAACCAAATTGTTGATATTATAAAAAAAAGACATAAGCATCTGAAACAAATAATATTTGGATGTGTAATTTTTACATTTATAAGAAAAAAACATAAATTTTTATCTTGTATAAAGTAGTCACGAAAAACCATTTAAACTAATGAAAAATTTCAATATAAAACAAAAAATATCATAAAGTAAGCAGCTTTAGATTTCGTAAACTCTAAATTATATAATTTTATTTGTTCAATATTAATTTAATTATTTTTCTTACTAACGTGATTTAAATCAAATGTAAGACAAAGAATTTTTTTTAAATAATAAGCTTTTTTTGGAATCAAATTATTTGCCGGTGTCTCAACCTTATGCTTAAATTTGATAATATTCGCAAATTAAATGATATGTTTTTTTAAATATAGAGATATAAAGTATAATAGATTTTATAATCCTATTTAGTTTATTACATAGCAAGAATTCGTATATTTAAAGTAAAACCACCACCTTTAATTTATATATCATTTTTAAGGATTTTGATAAGAATTTTTTTGCATCATTTAGCTTGACTAATAACTTTACTGCCACTGTCTTTTATAGCGAAAATTCAAATAACTTTGACTTTTCTGTATAATTTATATGCTTTTATTTTGCTTTATTATACAACTACATTTTTAAATTTTTTTTATAAAAAGTGCTTTATTTGTGACATTTTAAGAAGTTATTCTGAAATATTATCTAAATAAGATATTCTGAGTCGAATAATTTAAACAAGATTTGTCTTTACATTAAACATTGTAAAAGATTTGTATATGTTCTGCAAAATAAATTCGTAAAATTAAATCAATGTTTAATTAATCATTTTTATTTAATTTTTTTGCAACTGGATATAAATTTTTACACTTTGTAGTATATAGTACCATTTTATATGATCTAAAATAAATTACAATTAAAAACATATTAAATTTTATACTTTTCAAATTTTAAGTCAAATATCCCCATGAATCTTTTTGGCTTTTTTTATTTGACTTTTTACACAGTTGAAATAAATAATAATTTAACACAGTTGCAACAATACAATAATATCTACAACTATACTAATAATTTTTTTACTTTAAATTCGTGATGATGCATCTTTTAAGTTAAAGCAAACTACTGCAAAAAAAAAACATGTATTTAATAATTATAACAATCTTAAAAATTTGGTAGAAGAAGGTGAATCTGATAGTCCGATGTTTAATGATTATACTAATGATTGCAAATTAATAAAGCCTAAAAAGATTTTACTTAGTAAAACACAACATGGGTTATTTGTGCAATATCTGACTTTTGAATGTTTTGAAATAATCTATTTGTATAGCGACAATAAACATGATACTTACGATATGCCTTCTTGATGATATTTAGAATTTTCAAAAATGCAATTAAAATTATACAAGATACAAGTTGTACTTAAGCTTATAAGCAGCTGTTTGATCCTACTAAAAAAAATCTTATATATTTAACTTTGTCAACTAAAAAACTACAATTTAAAAAGGTTAAATATTCCGAGTCGTTAAAAAAATCTATATTTGATGAATTGTCAGAGATTATAAAAAAAAAAATAAAAAAATTGTATGATGAAGGAATAGAACTAAGCGCCGATCTATCAAAAAAATAAGTCGTATTTTAATTTGACTGATGCAAATATACGGATTCTTGATTAAACAAAAAAATTGATTTTTACTTAAATATGCTTTTAATTTTTTATCATTTTTTCATAAATCAAAAATTTGATTTATTATATTTAAAAGAACAACTAAAAAGTGACTCTATTTAATTTCATAAAACTGTTTACAAACTTTCAATGATTGCATTTACAACCTTTTTAAAGATTAGATACGACAGTTAATTTGACATATAAAATACAAATAAGTAAATATAATTTGTATTAAGCATATGAAATATGCTCAAAAATAAGTTTTAAATATAAACTAGTCAATAATAATTAAACTCTTTTTGATGGGCACATATAACTTATTAAACTAGAATACAGGCTTTGCTTAGTAATGATAATCTTAACAAACTTTATACATGAAGAATATTTGTAAAATTAATAGTCCATAGATAACATTAACAACAGTCGTACATTTTTCTTACAAAACCTTTGGACGTTGTCTATATATAACGTACTTTGTTCGATTAAATTAAACAGCTATACACAACAGAAATAGTAATTTGATCAAAATCCCTATGATTTTTTAAAATTTTGTAATTAAAACATATTTACATTTAAAAATTTTGATGCAGGATACAATAAAATATGCATTTCTCGCCGTTAAAAATTTTTTAATTCAAAAATAAAAATGAAAAAGGTAGCTGCGAAATTTGTTTAAATAAAAGACCAGATATCAAAAAGTATCACATAGTGTTTGTTTATATAAATTAAAATATTATAAAAACAAATAAAATGTTATTATGTCCTTAAGAAGAAAATGTAGAAAAAAATTTTATTAAATATAAACAACTTTTTTGTGCTTTAGTATTAAGTTGGACAAAATTTACTAAAATTATAAATTGCTTTGTATATTAAAGCAGGAATTATAAGTTCAGTTGCGGGTATTAGTATAAATACAATGCCAAAGATTTTAAAACAAGTAGGGTGTAGGATTTCGGGAAACTTTCAATTGGGTGGTTCAAATATCATTGTTGTAATCGATAAACTGAATTTGACTAAATAAAATGTCATCCTGGTCCCTATAGAAGGAGTAGAAGTTTTAGTGGTGGTGTTTTGAATGCCAAAAGAATAATATTTGTTATTACATTAATTAGTAGAAAATTAGAAACATTAGCATCTTTTATAAATAAGTATTTTAAGAAATAAAATTTCCTCAAACTAATGTGTAGAAAAATTACACCTACTTAAGCAATTATGGTTATATTAATAGAAGCGTTGATTGTTTCAAAAATTTTGTAGCTAATAACAAAACAAAGTGCACATAAATATGATAGAAAAGGCTTAGGCTAGCAAAAATTTATATCTCTATTAGATATTGATGCTAAAAAAAAATTTAGTGCTTTCTAAATCTTTTTTGTCCAAAAGAAAATTTTGACTAATGCATTTAAAAACATATTAAAATTAGTTTTAATCAAACAAGCCTATTAAATAATTATATTGCTAGATTTTGATTCATACGCAATTTTTTATTTAACAAAAACTATCTACATTTAATGTTTCGAAATGCACCAATAAGAAAATTAAAACTTTTGCTAAACATTAAAAGAATACTGGTAAGTCCTTCTTTATATGTGCTTATTGCAACAATTTATATTTATATAAAATAATTTATCAAAAAACAAGCATAAATTTAGATAAAAATTATACATCTCCTTCATTTTGACTTTTGTTTCTTGTTCTAAAAATTTTAAAAGGCAAGCAAAATTCATATTTTTCAAGCACTTAAGTTCATCATTAAATTTTGAAATAATAAAAATTTTTTTACAATTCATAACAAACTAGCATATAAAATTCGACAGAATTATGTCTTTGGTATTATGCTGTCATCTCCCGCAGTAGTTAATCAATCAGAGGCAATAAGGTGATTGTTTTAATTATTACAAGTATTATTGATATCCCCAGGAGCAAGTAGACATCTTTTATTCAACTAAAAAGTATTTAGGGATATTTTTAATTAAAAATTCCTATAAAACCAATTTATAGCAACAAGTCAATTAATCTTTCTTAAAAATCACACGATATCGCCGCGACACGGTGTATACATTTTTTTCTAAATCCTAAAATTTTAATTTAAATAAAAAAATTTCGGCAAAAAAACACTTTTTAGTTACTAAAAATGTAGGACAATAAAGACATAGACATGTCAATCAGCAGTATTGGGTTGATGGCTTTAAAATGTCTGTTATATAAATAATAATTATTAAATAAACCCATGTTTTATTCTAACAAAAACAATTTTGCTTTTTAGAATTGTATTTAAAACAAACCCAATACTTTGTTTATTAATTTTAATTAGATTTATAGTATAGTTGCATTAAGCAAAAAATTAATGTCCGAAGTAAAATTAGCAAAACAATGTGTGCTGTAATTTGATTTTACACAATAACTTAAAGATAATAATAACTAATTTAGCTAGATTTTTTTTGATATTTTTATTTAATGTAGAATAATAACGTGTAAGTTTGTAAATATAACATTAACATTATTGAATAATTTTAAATAAATGATAATTACCTTAAAACAAAAAAACTTGAGACATTTTTTTATATTAATTACTAAGAAAATATATTCTTATATACAATTTCAATGATCTTATAATTTGTAATATTGTTATATTTTAATAGAGATGGTATGACACAGTAATATTTTATAAAATAAAAAGGGTTATGATTTTTACTTACATAAAATAAAACCTGTTCATTAACTTTATTTTTCATATTGGATAATCGATCTAAATTAATTTTTTGTGAAATGATATATAGCCTACAAATCTGTTCATTTCAAACCATTTTCCTGCAATTGTAAAATTGGGATTTTAAATATATAACGCCACAGAATAAATAAGATTATTACAAATTTAATAATTCTTGTTTCTGTTGATTTTTAAGTATTTTAATTATTTTAGAAAGTCTAAAAGATCTTATATCAAATTTAAAAGTCAATGTTATTTATTTTAGTAATTGATGACAAACTGAATGAAATAAAGATAAAAAAGATATAAAATACATATTGTTAAACATCCATAAAATACGATACGCAAAACGCGTCGACTTTTTTTTGTGGATGACGAAGTATCTTTATTTGAACATTTGGGATTATAATTTAATTTTTTTTTATTACAAAATCCCTTACAAATCCATTCTTTTTTTATAAAATCGTAATAAAAGGGACATACATCTACTGTAAAAGATCTTCCATTCTTATCAAGAATATCAATAGTAAAAAAAAATAATTTTTTTTTTTCTTTACATAGATCTGTTATATCAATATAAATTGTTTTATCTTTAAAATATAAACAATAAGAATTTTCTGCATCCTTATTTTTTTTGGTCTCTTCATTTGTGTAACTAAAACACTGCACATCCTTTGTATTATCTTTGTCTATACTATTGTTAATAGATAAATCTTTACATAATTTTAGCTTGTGGTTTATAATTCTACTTATTTCACTTCCAACAAAAATTTCTAAGATATCTTTCTTTTCTTTCCTGCAGAGACAAGTCATTATTGTATTCTTTATTGTTGCAAAAAAACTAAAAATCAACATAAGGATTTAATTAAAAGGATTTTTATCAAAAAATAAATTAAATATTGTTAATTTAGTAGATGTATTTGACAAAAATTTATTAATTTCATTAATGTTTTCAAAATGTTAAAAGTATTTTTTGAATAAGTAAATAATGATTTAGTTTATTAATATATAGTAATATACGATTTGTGTATAAATTAAAGAACCTACAAAGGTTTGTTGAAATGAAACAGCTTTTTAAATTTACACAGCAATGAATTTTATTCAATAAAATTATAATTTTATACATTTTTAATTTATCAAACAAAATTATTATTAAAAACTAAGAAATGTTTATGAAATTTACATACAACAATTTTTAAAATCATTATTAACACCATAAATTCTGTTTATAAACAATTGCAAACAGTTTAACAGATAGTTGTTTTTTTATAAATTTAATTATGTGTTTCTTCTTCCTTTTTATATATTAAATATACATAATTATTTAATACTTGATAGATAATTTAAGTAAAAAAAATTGTAATATTATACCAAATATATTAAACATTACAGCTGGTCACATCTCTAAACCTTTAGCAAAAGTAAGGTTATAGATAAAATTTAATTGGAATGTATCATTAATTGTTTTTAAAATTTATTGCTGCGCAGAATGCTTAAAAAGTGACCATGCTTAGATGCCTAATTTTGCTTAGATTTATATATTTTTTTGCAGGAAAATTTTACTCGTACGTGACTAGCATTATGTTTCAATTTACAAAAATAAAAGGTTATTTTCAGTTATAACTTAAGAATTTTTTATAATACTAAAAGTTGATTTATTTTTAAATTTAATTATAGAAATTTGAGGTTATTTTTAAATTATAATGAAGAAAAGGGTTATGAGCTAACTTAAATTTTATAACTTAATACATTAATTTTTACGTAAAAATTTACTAACGAAATGTAAATTTTAAATTAAGAAAATAAATTACTTGCATGTTCTATATAATTATAATAAATCAGTTATATTTTTACTTAAATTCTGGAAAAAAACAATTGTTAGATTTTCTCATTTGTATTTAACTCAGCTTTTTTTTCAAATGATACTTGTTATGCTTGCTAATATTAACTTTTTCATAATTGCATTTTAAAGATTTTTATGAATGTTATCGCATTCTTTTGCGATTAAATAATAATTATTTAAAATATAAAAAAAATTATATCTAAATACTCAATATTATTTCTTATACAATTTTTATAAAGACAACCATTATACTTTTTCTAAAAAATTTTATAGTTTTTATATGCATTTATTTCTCGTTACATTTAGTTCATACAAAAATACAGTAATTTGTATAAAAACAATAAATTTACCATATTTAAGCAAATTATTAATTATTATGGTAGAAAGGATTCTAACAAAAAAGGAAAAACATTAGTTGCAAATAACATTAAGGAAATGAAGTCGCTTTTTGATCATTTTCAATTATTAATATATTTAGTACATTTAATTTTTTCTTTCGCGTCAAAATGCTCGCCAGTTTTACGGTTAGTTCTATTTGGTTAATATAACCATAAAAATTGAGGTTATTAATTACAATTAATATGTATAAAAAAATAATGATATTTTTTATGGTCAAAACACAACAGATATAATACTTAACGTCTTAAGAAATAAACATACAAAAGAAGATTAATATATACAAATTTTTATGTATTAAAAAGATTTAAAAAAAAAAATTAAAAATGCCCAAAAAACCTTTCCGTTCTCATCAAAAGACTCAATTAAACTTGACACAACACGTGTCCTTAAAATTATTTTTTCGACTATACTTACTGATTAATCCTAGATTACTTGTTTAATGCATTAACTATAAATAATTTATTTGAGTATTTTAAAAGTTTTCTTGGGGTTCAATAACGACTAGCTTCTCAAATAGCTTTTGCTCTCTCTGCATTTCACCTTCATTTATTTGATGTTTTCTATAGAAGTTAAGCATCCTCTACGGCTTTCTATGGTCAGGCTTTCCAGTGTCATTTAAAGTACTTTGGATTGTACATAAACCTGTATTTTTGTTGTCTAATCCAATATAAGTTCTATACTGTTTATGAAATATCGCTACTACACCATCCTATGCCATCACGTACCGGATAATACATTAACAAAATACATTTAAAAATGATTTGATACTAGAGAAAGTTTATTTTTATTGCAACATATCATCTCATATATTATTAAATCAAAAATAGTAGTTAATAGCAAAAATTTATTTAATACTTATCTAATTATAATTTTTCTGGCAATTTTGATCTAAACTTACTGTTTTATGGCTGTCGATGGTCTTTTTGAGCTTAGATATTTTGTTTATTACGTTGCATTTTTAATTCTGATAGGACTTAAATTTAAAAAATTAACGTTTTTATCATCTTTTAATAACGCAACGATAATCAGTACATTGTCATTTAGTGTAAAAATTCAGACAAATAACATTTACTTCATTTACATGTATTTTAAGACTTAATCTGTACCAAATTTCTTTAGCGCTTTAATGCTATCTACTAGAATTTATTTTAAGTTTTTAACATTGTATTAGCCACTATGTTTGTAAATTTAATATTGTTTTAGTCAAATTTTTGTAAACTGTCTTAATTTTTTTTCATTTACTTAATAAGTTAAAATTCATTAAAGTTATTAAAAAATTTTAACATATAAAACTATAATTAACCCTTAAGATGTCACTTACCAGACCAATTACCAATTTAGTCACAGAAAATATTGAACATTTATCTAATACTACAGATACAAATAATCTAACAACAAACATTAAAAATTCTTTAGATGAAGTTGCGAACGCAAAGTCATTTGATTATTTAAAAGCAGCTAAAATTTTTTTAATAATTTGGATGATCGGTTTTTGCTGTGAATTAATCTACCTAAATTATAAGCTACTTTTTTCAAAGAATATAAGCCGCAGAGATAAAGAAAACAGAAATTTTGATGATGCCAGGGAATTAGAAATACTATAAGGTTAAATAAATTTAACTTTTTTTGGTTTTTCGACATAATTTACAACATGTCACTTTGTTTAATTTATTCAACTATAAATTTTTATTTTTACTCACCAAAATCACAAAAAAAGAATTTTTTTAATAAAACTATTGATTTTAAATACTTTAAATGGCTGTAATACATTATGTAGGACAGTAAAGATGTAGACATGTCAATCAGCAGTATTAGGTTGATGGCTTTGACATGTCTGTTATATAAATAATAATTATTAAATAAACTTATGTTTATCTTAACACATTACATCGGGTTTTTTAACCAAGACTTAAAAAATGGCAAAAAAACTAATAAAGCATCTGTTACAGACTTGAGAACACAAAGCATTTTTTGGTTTTTTTGTATATTGAGTTTGTATATTGAGGGTAAATTGAAAAAATATTAATGTTTTTTGTATAAAATAAAACGTTTTACATTTGCATTGTTGTAAAACTCCTTTAAATAAAGGATAACACAAAAATAAAAACGACATAAAATTTATTTAATATGACCATCTTTAGAACAGTGTTTTTATTATTCAACAATAAAATAGATATAATAACATAATATTAGGTGTTAGCAAATATCGAAAGAAGGTTCGTTTATCTGTGAATTTAATATGATGCAATTTTGTAAAATTATACTTTTTTTAAAAGAAAATTGATATTGTTTTTCTTATCATAATTCAAATTTTTAAACATTATATTGATCAATTTTTTATAAAAAGAATAAAATATACTTTGTATTTTCTTATCAACAGCTATTTTACCATTAGTAAGTAAAAATTAATTTATTTTTACGAATTTTAACTAGATTTCAGAAAAGAGTTAATATTACTAAAAATTTAATTGAAAGTTAAATTTTAATATTTCTATTCTTCGACATTATAACTATATTAGCAAATAGATATGATTAATTTAAATTTTAATGTTATTTTTTAACAACATTTTTTCAAAGATCAAATCTGTTTATTTAATTTTTAATAATAATAATTTTTATATTCTTATTCATTTTTGTACCAAAGCGTATTTTAAGCAATAAAAGATTATAAAAAATTATGTTATTTTTTTATATGACAAAATTTTATGATTAAGTCTGAGCTTGTAAAGACTCTAAATGGCGTTGTTAGTACATTGTAGCGATGTTATTCTGATGATTGTAGGGTATGGGCTCAAATTTTAGCACTGTGAATTAGTTAAGTATATTAAATTGGTGTTGACACAACAATTTTCAAAAATATTTGCCTGTAAAGTTGTATCGTAGGCATTGACCAAAGTTGTAAACGTCTTAATGATGCAAAAGTCACATCATTATTAAGTTAGCACACAATTAGCATAGCTATGAAAAGCATTTGTAGGTTGTATTCGTAGACCTATAGTAAGAAATTACATCTGAAGACCCGCCTGGGAAGAGCGCAGCAAGCTATTGAAGCTTTAGCATATTTCGCATGGGATAGTGAGAGTCCATCACGGTCATTAGACTCATATCGCACATCCAACATCAAATTAGTGACCTTCTGGTCTGGTAGAGCATATTCTATCAGTTGTCAGCCAAGTAAGTATCCTTACGGGGTAAATCAAACCTTCTCAGGAGTAAAAGCTTCGTATTAAGCTACCCCCAATATTCAATTTAAACAAAGTGTAGAAAGAGTTTAACTAAGAATACAAAAAAACATTAATGCTGTTTTGTATAGGTAATCTGAAATTTTGTTACTAAGAACGTTATAATAATCTGACGAACCGACTTTTCTTTTAAAAAAAATTAATCAATAAATAAATTATATTCTTTCTTTTTAAATAAAGAATTTAATTTAAAAAAATTTCTTTTAATGATTTCTAATAAATAAAACGCACCAAATATTAAAAAAAAGAATTCTCGTACAAATTTTAAAAGTATTTCTGTTTAATAGTTATAATTTCCTTCAATAATAATAGTATGTATGCAAGTTTTTGAGTATTTAAATTTACTAAAATTTACAGTAAGATGATCTTTCAAATAATATATAAGTTCAGATTTTTTTTAAAAACAATTAGAATATAATATTAGTTCTTTTTTAAAAATATTTTTTTTAGATACAAATTATATAACAATTTTGTGTTAAATTATGATTTTCCACAATTCCAAATACACATACTGCAAAACTAAGTATCCTTTATGGTACTTTTTTTTTATTTGCTTTTTTTCGCTTTTGTTTTTTGCCGTTTATCTATCGTTCCTTATTTTAAAAATATTTCAAAATAATATTTTTCTTTAAAAAGTAATTTATGAGAATTTGTACAACATCTTACCTTAGTAATAGTTATAGTAATAAACAAAAAATTGTATTTTTGTATATTTAACTAAAAACCTTCAATATAATCATATGAACAATATTTTTTAAAAAAGCAATGCTTGTAAAAACATCTTTTTTACATTTTTGTTTTACACTTAAAATATTACTTTAATATTTCAAACAAAGTATTTTTTTCTAGAATTAAAATTTTAATTAATTTTTTTTCATTTTGCATTTTTTTAACAAATAACTTATACAGAAACTTTCCACTATTTTAAATTGTTTTGATCATATAATATAACAATTTATGGAATTTTAGATAAATTGAACTCAAAAGCCTCAAACTATTTTATATTTAAAAATTTATAAATAAAAATTCCTATATAAGTATTTGTAGCACACAAAAACATAATAAATTTTAAATAAAATTTCTTAATTTTTTTCATAAAATATAAACTCACTTCAATTCAAATAAATTTATTAATATTCTTCATCAGAAGCTATAAAATCATCATCACTTGCATATCCCTCACTTTCTTCAGAACTTATCACCTCATCAAACACTTCACTTCTTATTGTTACATTATTCTCATTAAAATATTTTTCAAGAATACCAAAATCTTCTTTATACAACCCATTAAAAGTATAATTTGTTTCAGCACTAATAGTCATATCAAATGTTTTAGCCTGTAAAGAACTAACATTAATTCTACTAAATTCTACACTAAAAATATCTTTTATATTGATTTTTATAGATCTAGGTAAAAATATAAGACAGCCATCCAGAGGATAAATCTGCCCTTCATACGCTTTATAAGTACATTTTAATCCTCTACGTTTATCCGATGTTATAAACTTAGAAGTGATTGCATCTACCTCGACAAGATGTTCAAAAATATCAATAAAAACATCACTTAACAACCCGTTATAACGCTTTTCAAGTCTCGAATCATTTATGTCTACATCTACTTCTTCATTTCCAAAAGATAAAACTATCAAATAATATTTTGTAAGACCTTGTCTTATGGGTGTTTCAAGGGACAGCGCTATGTACTTGTCTTGATCAGAGATATAATTTTTTTCTAAAAAAAATATATCCTTTACATTTTTATAGTATATTTTATGATCATAGCTGTATCCAATTATCCTAAAATAGTCTTTATACAACATAAAGTTATTTTTACCCCTTGGATAGACCATAGTAATTGCTTCAAAAGTGACAAGATCATCTTCAATATTACTATTACAAGCATCTTTAATTTCATTAATAGTTTCCTTTGTAGTTACAAATCTTATTTCTACATTATCCAATTTAACTGACAATTCATTTCTAATATCAGCAATACAGTCAATATCTTTTATAGGAATTTCAAAAATCGTTTTTTCATTAGAAAACTCTATAAATCCTTTACCGTTCACTGTTAAGTCTCCTCGTCCTACGTTAGTGATTTCGAGTTCTCGCATATACAAATTAATTTTGTACGCATCGTTACAAATCTTAATAATTGAATCAATGAAGTTATCGGGAATACCATTGATAAAGTATGGAATGTTCTCATAAATTCTTAAGTTCACACCCAATGATCCTCTAAACATTTCTATATCTCGTATATTAGATTTTTCAATTGTAAGAATTTCACCTGATTGGTGTTTTATAGCTATACCACCTTCAGCTAGTTTAATATCTACCCTGTCATTTTTTAAAAGACAGTTTTCGATTGTTAAAACTTCCATGGGGTAAAAATTAAAATTTTTAAAAATGTAAAAAATGTGATAAATATTAACATCTATTATAAAAATGTTAACAGTAGAATTAAGTAATTTAACAAAACAAAAGAATAAAAATGTATTGATAAATTATGATTTATAAATAACTTTTTAATTTAATAAAAAAATCCCAAAATACTTCCTCCAACATTACTACTTATACACTCGTTATGATCAAGCATTCCTTTTTCAGTAGTAAAAAGAACATGTCCAAACTGTCTAGCTGGTAGAAGGCGAGATCTATAATTTTCAATATGCTCAGTTTCTACCTTGTAGTTAGGACATATTGCACCACATTTATTAAGCCGTCCATTTAACCAAATAATTGTTTTTCCTTTTCTCTTATCATCTACATAAGAGTATTTAGTGATGTATCCGTGTTTTAGCATCTGTTTCAAAAAATTTCTTGTAATATTATTACTTTCGTGTAACAGTAACTGTCTTTTACCGGCTCGTGATGCGTTATTAATTGCCTTACATAAATTTGAAAGCTGCTTCATTGGGGTAAAAATTTTAAAAAAAAATAATGTTAAAAAAAATAATGAAGATAAACGTTACAAACAATAAATTTTACTTATATTGTTTTTTATAATATATCAATAAATATCTAATAATTTTTAATACCATTTATTTAGTTATAAATCCAAGCCTGCTTTCATCTTCAATCACAAATTTTTTATTTTTACTTAAAATTGGTATATTTTTCTTTCTAATAATACATACATTTTCTGTTTTTCTACTCTCCATCTTTTTACTACTTTCTGTTTTTTTAGTAACTTGCTCACACTCATCACCAAATTTAGGAAGAGGCTCCTCCTTAATTTCTCCTATAACAATATTATTTTTTAATTCCTCAATATTTAAAAAATCATATTTATCTTTATCTATGCTTTCTTCTACCAGCACATCTAATTCTTCAACTAGAAAATCAGCATCTTTGTATTTTACAAAAATATCTCTATTATCACTAAGCTTATGTTTATTTTTATTTCCTCCTACCCATACACGTCTTAATTCCCCAACTTTCCACTTGTCAAGAAGTGTAGATTTCACTACACTCTTTTTTACACCCATTTGTCTGTGTCTAACAGCACAATCTGAACATATAAAAAATGAGTAGGTTAAAGATACCCATATAGGAGAACATTTACTACAATCTGTACAGATATTATTTAATGACCTTTGTTTAATATTTTTAAAGAATTTGTTTACTACAGACTTTTCTAGAATAGTGTCTTCATTCATTGAAGGGTTAAATTAAAAAAACATTAAATTTCAAAAGGGATAGCAAATTAAAAAAATATTTTTAATTGTAGAGTAAAATGATATTTAATTAAATGAAGTGTGTAAAAAAATAAAGAATTTAATAAAAAATTCTTTTTGATTTGTATCTTTAGAATTATTTTAAATGAAAAAATATAATTAAATTAAAGTGTAAAGATCATTTTTTTAGATAAAAATATAATTGAAATATTAAAGATCATTATTTTAGATAAAAAAATAAATATAATTGAAATGTTACATTATTTTAGATAAAAAAATAAATATAATTGAAATGTTACATTATTTTAGATAAAAAAATAAATATAATTGGAATGTTACATTATTTTAGATAAAAAAATAATTGAAATATTAAAGATCATTATTTTAGATAAAAAAATAAATATAATTAAAGTGTTAAAGATCACTATTTTGCTAAAATATTCTTATAAAAATTTAATTGGAATGCTAAAGATCACTATTCTAGATAAAATATTTTTATAAGAAAATTTAAGTAAAGTGTTACATTATTGTAAATAAAATTCTTATAAAAAGAAAATTTAAATAAATTATATAAAATCTTTTTTGTAAATAAAATATTCTTATAAAAAATAATTGATTAAATTGTTAAAAATTTCATTTATTTTTATTACAAGAAATAAAAACAATAAATTTAACACATTAATGCTTAATACAAGAATATTTTATAACTAAACATTTCTTTTAAATCTAAGAATGTCTTTATAAATAAATTTTAAGCTTTAAAATATTTTATACATTTTGTTTACATATAAACATTTCTTTCTATTTATAAAATATTAATATATAACTTTTATTAAATAATCAATTATAAATTACATACAAATAAATAAATTAAGAAATCTTCGCAGTGTTCTCTTTTTCCTTTTTTCTTCATTGTGTAGTTCTAATTTTTCCCCATATTCTCTATAAAGCATTTCTAAATTTTCATATGGCATAAATACATTATAATCCAATTCTTTAAGAATTTTATATTCCACTTTATTAATGTAGAGAACAGGAAAGTGACATATCTCTGTCCATGAATCATTTGTAAAAGAACAATCCAAATATATTTTAGAAGAAATAATAGTAGAACAGATAAACAATAAATATCTATCGTATTCTACATTACATTTATAATTAGTGGATGTACTGTAATGTTCAGTAGAAGGATAATCATAAATATTTTGTCTTGTAGTGTATTTATCATAAATATATTTAGCATTAAATAAAATACATAAAGACAGCCTTGCTTTAACAACAAAGCTATATATTCTCTCTACTACATAATAATCAGGTATACTTGTGTAAATAAAAGATTTAAGTTTATGATCCATAAATGTAGAAATTAATTATTATTATGTTTTAATATAAAGGAGTTTCATATATTATTGGATAATTATATATTAATTAAATATATAAGATACTAACTTAAATATACTATTTTAAGTTATAAATTTATTGTTGAGATATTTGACATTTGTGTATGCAAAAATTATAGATTTAATATATATTAATTAGATATATAAGATATTAACTTAAATATACTATGTTAAGTTATAAATTTATTGTTGAGATATTTGACATTTGTGTATGCAAAAATTATAGATTTAATATATATTAATTAAATATATAAGATATTAACTTAAATATACTATGTTAAGTTATAAATTTATTGTTGAGATATTTGACATTTTTTATGCAAAAATTATAGATTTATTATCATCTAAGAAAGCTTCTACGGTACAAAAACTTTAAATCAAAATATTAATAACATTTTTGCTGTGTATAAGACCAAATTTGAAAATTGTAGTATAAATTACTTATTGTACTTTTTAAAGTATATTATCAAACAGAAAATAATAAGCATGAAAGCAAATTACTACTTTCTTATAGCCGATGTTAATATTATAGAACTAGATGTAGTTAATAATATATAACAAGATTTAATTAATATAATGAAATAGATGTAATTAACATAATAGAATAGATTTAATTAATATAATGAAATAGGTGTAGTTAATATAATGAAATAGATGTAGTTAATAATATAGAACTAGATTTAATTAACATAATAGAACTATAATAAACATATAAGTAGAACTAAATGTAAATTTTTTTTCTACTAAAAATTTAAATCAATTACACTAGTTTTGTTAATTTATAAAAAAGTATTAACTTTAAATTTTTAAAATGTAATTTAATTACGCCTTCGCCTTCTTGCTTTCTTCCTCGATTTCATCTCTCGTTTCTTTTTACCTTTAGTTAAAAATGAAGGATACTTCTTTTTATTTTTCGCTCTCCTTTCTTTTCTACTCAATTCTGGTTCATATTCTATTTCTTCTGATTCTTCATCTATTTTCTTTATTTCTTTTTGTATTTTCTTCTCATTCTTTTGAATTTTCTTATTGTTGTCTACATCTACATATTCTTTCTCTAAATCATCTAATTCTTTTTGTGTTCTTAACAATTCAGATTTGTAAGAAATATCTGGTTTAGAAAAAGTGAGTGACTGAAGGTGTTTAAGTGCATGTTTTTTAAATAATTTTTCGCGTTTAAGGACATCATTCACATCATCTAGAAGTATAGGATCCATAAAAGGGGTTAGTTTTTAAAAACTACTTAAAGGAGTGTGGTAAAGGAGTGTGGTAAAGGAGTGTGGTAAAGGAGTGTGGTAGAGAAGTGTAGTAAAGGAGTGCGGTAAAGAAGTGCGGTAAAAGAAAGATTGAATAAAAGAAAGGTATTTAAAAAAAGAGTGTGGTAAAAGAAAGATTGAATAAAAGAAAGGTTTTAAAAAAGATTTTATAAAGAAAGATAATTAAAAAAAATTGTATAAAGAAAGGTAATTAAAAAAATTATGTAAATACGTTAAATAGAAAAGGAATAAATAATAAGTAACTGTAATTAGTTAATAGTTTTATAATTTATTACAATTTAAATGATTCATTTCTATCAATGTACACTTCACCAGATTTCTCATATTCAATAACTGTTTCTTCATCCACATCCCCTTCAACTGTCATTGCATACAAACCTGGTTTACATTTAGATATCCTCTGCCATTTAGCAACCCAACTGTTTTCTGGATCTACAAGGCCAATAAGACCTTTAAACTTACCAGATGTAAATTTAGATTTTTTATTTATTGATACACAGTTTTGACATCCTTTAGATTTGAAATTTGATTGTGATGCGATGTGTGAACAAAATTTACATGCGCGTGCTTTAGAAGGAATGTATGCAGGAAAGATGGACATTTGGGGTAGAAAAATAAAAAGTGTGATATAGATATAAAAATTACTAGAAGTATAATTAAAGATGGCGTGTAAGATATTGGTTTATTATTGTTTTTTTAAACACAAATTAATTTTATAAAATTATATTTTTAAACATAAAATACCTTTATTTTTTATACCCCCTCATTATTCTCTTCTAATCCTATTTCAATATTAGATATATACATATCAATCTCTTCATATACATTATCAGGAAGAATTCTTAAATCTACTTCTATTTCATTATTCTCTACATATTCTCCTGCACTATATTTCTGTATAATCTTAGCTACTGTATCAGTTTGTATTTTATTAAGATTTAATATTCTGTTACCAAGTTCAATCCTTTCATTTAAACTATAATTTTTTACTGTAACAGGTGATCCATCATTTTTATCTCTTAACTTACTTTCTAATGCTTTAACTTCTTTAGTATACTGTACTATCTTCTTTTTTAATTCTAATATCCTTCCTTTTAGATCTTTTGGTTCATAATTCGCTAATAAAGAATTTACTAGTTCATTTAACTCTGTTCCACATCTGTAAACATCTGATCCTTGATCATTAAATTTATGACAGTTTTCTGTTATTAATCTTAAATCATTACTAAACTCATCTACCCCTTTATAAGATTTAAGATCTAATTTATCTTTTATACTTTTTAAATCCATAGGATTTTTTATTATCTCGTAATATTGTGGTAGTAAATTTTCATCCACTGGTTCTAAAAAAGGCCATACAAACCCTTTATATTTAGATTTTAATATTTCATTTAATACTTCTATACAGAACTCATAATCATCTATTTTCATTGTATCACCACTTCTTATAGTACGTTTTACTTGTTTAGATCTTTCTAAAGACATTTCAGGCCTCTTTCTCTTTTTAGAAATTTCCATGGGAAGTAGTGCAAATAACTCGTCATAGTATTCTTCAAGCTTCTTACCAAGAAGATAAACATCAGAAGAAGGATGATTGTATGTATAACAGTTATTAAACATTAATTTTATATCAGAATCAAACATCTCAGGAGTATTATACACCTTACTGTCTAACTTCTTTTTTACAGTAGAAAGATCCATAGGATACTTAATTTTTAAAGGGTAGTCAGGAATACCATATTTAATGGGATCAACAGGTTCAAGAAAAGGAAAGGCATTTTGATTACGTTTTAATTTCTGAAGTATCTGTCCACAGTATTTCATCTGATGCTCTAAAAGCGAAGTGTCTAAATCTTGCATAAGGAGGGGTAAAAAATTTAAAAATAAAAATTAGTAAACTATTCTAAATAATGTTAAAAAAGGTAAATTAATATATTTCTTATTTGTAGTAGAATAAGTAAATAATTTATTTTGATTTTATTTGTATTAGTAGTTAACTGTTAAAATATATATTAAAATTTGTGTAGTAAAAATGTATTTAAACAATCATTGTTCTACTAATTTATAAGAAGAATAAGTTTATATTTTAAATATAAAATTTAATGCTATATAATTTACAGGAGAATTTAATGTTCTACTAATTTATAAGAAGAATAAGTTTATATATTAAATATAAAATTTACAAGGTAGCATAGAAATATTGAGAAATATTTTTACTCTTTATTTTTATAGATTGTACAATAATTGTGTGTTTAAAATTACCGCTTAAAGTTACTATCGTGATTGTCTTCTACAAAGCTTACTAATGTCATTTAAAATACAAAAAGATAAGATAATGTTTTGTTACGTTTTTTAAAATTTAGTAAAAAATTTCACACAGAAATAACCTTAAATTCAATAAACAAGACAAAAAAATTTAATGTACAATAAGCATTAAAAAGTAGTTAAGTCTTGTAACTTTATATATATAGAAATACTAGTCAAAAAAGATCTTTATATAAGAATAAATGATTTATAATTTTGTTACATAAACTTAAAAATTAATATTTATATTAATAAATTTTACGTTTTATAAAAAAGGCAATGATAACTTGTGCCATATCTAGATGATAACATGCAGTTGTTAAAAGAAGATGTAAATTGATTTGTTGTAAAGCTAGTCATTAAAACGAATATTTTATACCAGTAAGAAAGCTTCTTGGTTGTAAATAGAAACAATAACCTGGGCGGAGTTTTTACAATCATTTAATTGTAAAATATCAGTCAATGGCTTGATGTGTGACAATATTAAATATAAAAAATAATATTGATTTGTATTTATTTTTTAAAATAAAAAAATATGTAAATATGTGTAAGATAATAGAAAAATAAATTAAAGAAAACTTCAAAAATTAATATTCGCGTAATGGTACATGTATTAAACTATAAACAACTTTATAAAATTTGTTTAAATTGTTTTTAATTTAATCTGCTGGTTTATTTGTAATGAACATCAATTATTGCTATGTTATGCTTAATATTTTGATATTAAGTACATTCATTGTTTATTTATAAGTAAATAAAAAATTGTATATTTAATATAAAGCAGTAATAATTTTTTTTAGTATGTCAAAATATTTTAAAAATCTTGCCTTAAGACGAAATAGTTGCAATTATAACTGACTAACACAGAAATTGTAAAAAAGTTGAGAACTAAAATTAAAGTTATCAAAAAAAAAGTTGAGAACTAAAATTAAAGTTTTCAAAAAAAAATGAGAATAATAACAATAACATTCTCTTAAAAACAAACAGTTATTTAAAAGCAATATAATATAAAAAAGCAACGAATTACTAATTCACATATTTGTTATTATATAAGAAATTCAATTAAACACCAATCTTTTTTTAATAATTTTCATGTTGAACTTAGACTTTTTAACTACAACTAAAATTTTAAATTTGATGATAGTGCCAAAAAAAAATTTATTTTATGATCTTTAATTTTTTACCTTTAGAAACTAACATACAAGAACTTTAAAAAATTGTAGGCTTAAATTACGAAGAGTAAATTAATTAAATATTTACCTTTGTTGAATCCATCGCGACATTGATATTTAATTTAACTAAAAATGATTTAAGTTTTAAAATAATAATATTTATTCTCATAGTGTAACATAGTTTTATTTATCATTTATTTAATTTAAAAAAAATGTTTAATAAGAATATATAGCTATAGATATTTTACTTGTTTTTTACATTCACATTTTACAGAAAAATTTTTATTTATAAATTTTATATAATAAATGGTACACTGTAGCACAGTAAAAATGCTAAAAAATATAATTATTTATAAATTTTATAAAACAAATGGTACACAAAAGAACAGTTAAATGCTAAAAAAATTTTTATAACAAATGGTACACAAAAGCCCGTTAGAAATGCTAATTAATTGGTTCTTAGAATTTTTTGTTTTTTAAAATTCAAAAATTGAATAAAAAAAGTTTTTTAAATTTTTATTTTATTTTTTTTAAATATTTATCATTTTTTATACATTAATTTTTGATAAATTAAATAATCTTAAAAATTTATTAATGTTTTATTCCCTAAAATGTTACAAGATATTTTTTTACTTTGCCTGTCATCTAACAACTACGCATGCTAAGAGTAAGATTCTTACCAGTAAAAACAATACAAATTTATTACACTTTAATACATATAAATGTAAAGAAGATTACAATCTTCGTAATAAAAACCTAAAATCTTACTACGATAAATTTAAAGATAATAAACAGCAACAAAGACTATTAAAAACAGAAATAATAAATTTACTGAAATATAGATATTTAAAAAGCATGTAAATAAAATAACTGCTAGAGTTTTTAAAATGTTAATAAAAAAGAAATGTACAAGTGTAATTTAAGAAATGATAAATTTATAAAATCACAGTATTACAAAACTTTTATTATTTTGTAAAATATTTTATTTTAAATACTAAATTTCTAAGAAAAGTTATTCTCTTCGGATATTTTTGTCACTGTTGGTATGAAAAAGATGATTATTTCAAAACATAAGCTTAATATAAAAATAATAGTTTATCATAATGGAATATAAAATTATAAAAATATGAACATAAAATATAAAAATACTAAAATTAACCAATCATATTCTTAGAATCTAGCCTTCAAACAATTGTAAATAAAGACAAATATGTCTTAAATAGCAAAGTAATATGAAAATAATTGAAGAATGTGATTAAATAACACTATTAGATATTTAATATAAAATAAAATAAGTTTATTATCATCTAAGAAAGCTTCTACGGCACCAAAACTCAAAATCAAATTACCATTGACACACACTAGCATACCACTAGGGCCTTGCTTGTAGGAAGATGAGGAACCACGTAGGATTTATTAAAATTCATAAATCATAAAGACTTAGGTATTAGATATTTAATTATCAAATTAATCTTAATTTATCCTATAAAAAATTTTGATCCAATAAAACTTGTGCTGCACGTTTTTTGATATACACCTTTTTAAATTTTTAATATTACAAATAAAAGAAGGATAATTTTACAAAACTTATGTTTTCTTATTGCCAACGCTGTTTAAGTAGCATTTAACTTATTTTTCGCTTTCTTTGTAATTTTAATAATTTAGACGATTTAGCTCCTTTTTTTTTAAAATGGCATAAATAGAAAGAGATCTTAAATTTGTTAATCCTACACTTTACAAGAACTTTGTCCCTTAAAAGCATGCCAATTTCTTTTATATTCATTATTTTTGTAATTAAAACAATTATTTCTTTACATCTTTGTGTTATAATTTTTATGTAAGCTTCCTCTGTGTATATTATTAAAAAAGAATAAAAATGTATTATTTAAATTTATAAAAACAAAAGTAAATAACTTAAATAATAAAAAATTAAGAACTATCTTTTTGTACAAAAAATGTAGTTTTATCTTTTATAATAAAATCTTAATTTTAAAAAACGACAACGGCTGGATTCGAACCAACGCGGGATAAACCCAACGGATTTCAAATCCGCCGCCTTAACCACTCGGCCACGTTGCCTTAAAAAGGATAAGAATAAATACTATAATTTATTTATTACAAAGATCTACTACATTTTTAAATTTCTTTTTGTTTATCCTCCCCTTTTTATGAAAGATGAAATATGCCAGTATTTTCAGCAAGGCAGGTGCAAATATGGAAATAATTGTAGTAGACAACACATTACTATTTCTTCACTATTAGATCCACCTACATGGATATATTCCTATATACCCAATCTTACACTTAATGTTATTAGTCCTGAAGAGTTCCGTTATAGTTTACTTATAAATGATACTAGACGTATTTTAGATGACATGTGGATAGAAAATTATGCAGAAATGTATAAATATTTGAATAATTTATGCAAGAAAGGAATTGTAAAATCTACATCTAAAAGGTGTATAGATTTAAGAAAGCATCCTGAATGTTTTAATCTTCCATTTGATATTGAGTATGTAGAGTTAAAGATACTTAAATTAAGAGAGAAATATCCTATATTTGATAAATATGAAATAATTGTTAGTGATGAAGATACTACAATTAGTGATTTTAATGTAGAAAATGCACCAAGTTTTGTAAAAGAATACGCTTATAAGAAAGAAGCAGAAGAAACACGGCATGAAGAAGAAAATATTAGAGGAGGGAGAGACTGGAATAATAGGATACAAAAATATAATCAACAGGGGAATATTTATCAGCAGAAAGGTAATTTTGAAAAAAGAAATTTTGATGATCAGAAAGGTAATTATGAGTTAAGAAATTTTGATCAACAGAAAGGTAATTATGAGTTAAGAAATTATGATCAACAGAGGAATATTTATCAGCGAAAAAATTATCAATCGAAAAATTTTGATCAACAGAAAGGTAATTATCAATCGAAAAATTTCGAACAACGGAGAAATTTCGATCAGGCGAAAAATTTTGAACAACAGAGAAATTTTGAACAACAGAGAGATTTTGATCAACAAAAAAATTATCAATCGAAAAACTTCGATCAACATAGAAATTTCGAACAAAAAAGAGATTATGAACAAAAAGGCACTCAATATAGAAATTATTACAATAAAGAAGATAATTATTTAAAACACGAATTTAACGAAAAAAATCAATCTTTTCGTTCGAATACGCACACTCCTAAAAAGAATAACAAGTCATTTACACAATCCAGAGATTGGAATAAAAATCAACCAGAAGAAAATAGTACAGATTTTGAATATGGTAATATACCTTATAAAAATAATTTATAATAGAATTAATTATTTACAGAAAAAAGATTTCTTCTATTTTTACCCCCTTCTTTTATTTTTTGTTTTAATTTACCCATAAAAAATGAGCGGTAAGAAAATTTTAGATTTCAAACAAGATATTCCTGATACATTATTTAGTACCCCCAAGACACCTGCTAAGAGGGTTGTTTATAAAGATATGATAGATTCTAGTATTGTAGATATTAATATACCCTCTGACAGTGTATTTATAAAAACTGATAATATTGAAGATAATAATAAAATAGGAGAAGGGGATTTTTATATTGTGTATAAAATTAAAAGAAGTGTAAATTACAATGGTGATGACACTATCAAACATGACGACACTATCAAACACGATGACACCACCAAACACGATGACTCATTTATTTACACAGCACTAAAGAAATCCAAATCACCTATTAAAAATTCTTTAGATTTAGAATTTTATAAAAAAGAAGTAAATATCCTAAAAAGTATAAATTCTGAATTTGTTACTAAATTTATTGATTCTTTTACTTATCAATCACATTTCTACATAGAAATAGAATATTGTAATGGTGGTACACTTAGAGAATATATTTATAAAATATTTTATGTACAGAAGAAATCAATAGACACAGAAATATTAAGAAATATTATTTATGACATATCTAGAGGATTAAAAGATATTCACAGTAGAGGAGTAGTACACTTAGATATCAAACCAGAGAATATTTATTGTGTTATAAAAGATAATAAATATTTATTTAAAATAGGAGATCTTAATATTTCTACTAAAATAGGAGAAGATATTTTATTAGATGGAGATAAAAGGTACATGGGACCAGAAGTGTTAAGGAATATATGTACTCCTGCATCAGATGTATTTAGTTTAGGACTTATTTATTTAGAAATATCATTAGGAATAAATCTTCCTAAGAAAGGGGAGATGTGGCATAAATTAAGAAAGAATGATTTTAAGGGTTTAGAAATAGATACAATAAATAAGAAGATGTTACATAGTAATTATAAGAGAAGATGTAAGATAGAAGAAGTAATAAGATATTTTAAATAAGTAGAATAAAATAATAAATATTTTTGTAATATTATTATAAGAAAGTGACTTATTTAGGATGGTTTTTATATGCAATTTTTATATATTTAGTATATTTTTTAAATATTTATTTTTATATATTTAGTATATTTTTTTATGCTTAGTGAATTTTTTAAATATTTATTTTTATATATGCACTTTTTATATTCTTAATTTTTTATGTTTAATCTTTATACGTGCATAACTTTTTATATATGCACTTTTTACAGCTTAATTTTTTTATGCATAAGCACAACATACTTTTATAATTTTACCCCCTCGTATGTTCACCCCCTCCAATCAAAAAAAATTAACAAATGTAAGCATCGTAACACTAAAAAAATTCAATAAAATTTACAGTATTCCTGTTTATCCTAATAAATTATATGAATATTATAACAATATTACACCACTTAATGATATTTTAATAAGTGATACAATCTATAAAAATGTACAAACTGGTATAAAATGCAGTAAAGAAGATCTAGCACTATTTAATTTACCACATTCTGAAATTATAAAAGAGATAGTCCTTACAGGCCATGAACAGAAAAATGTTATAACACGTGATTATGAGAGAGACATGGTAGAGTGTCAGATAGTAGACATAGTAAGGAAGAAAGTAATGAAGAATAAGAAGTTCTATACTTTTGAAGATATGAAACAGATTATAAGAAATATTTATAAAATACGAGTGGGAGATATTAAACCACAAGTACTAGACATTCTTAACATTTTGTGTAGAGAAGGTTACGAGAAAGTGAAAATGAGAATATTTGTGGAAGGTAAAGATATTTACATTGACAGTGGAGATTTTATAAAATTTAGAGAAAAATGTAGAAATAACAATATTGAATACATTGTAAAGAAGAATATAGAATGTAATGAGGAGGAGATTGTGTAGGATATTGAATGTTTAATAAATATAGTTATTTAAGGAAGTAAAATGTATATTCTATAAACATTATACTTTATAATATAATTATTTATTATTCAAGGAAATAAAAATGTATACTTTATAAATAATCATTAAATAACTTAACAATACAAATTATTCAAAGAAATAAATTGTATACTTAATTATTATTCAATCTATGTTTTATAACAAATAAATACTTCTTTATTGCTTTCTTCCTGCATAAGGGAAAAAATAATGTAAAACATTTTTATACAAGAAAAATTGAATATTTTATATTTATGCTTTGCATAAAATTTATATTTTTTTACCCTTTAAATGTTTTTAGACACAGACAAACAACTCACTCTTTTCACAAGTGAAGGTAAACTGACACAATGCGATAATGCTTTAAAAGCATCTAGTAATGGATCATTGTCTGTAGGGTGTACATCAGAAGATGGTGTTATCATAGCAAGTTTAAAAGAACCTTTTAATCTGGTGATTCTTAATGAATACAGAAAGGTTTACAAAATATCTTCTACCATTGGATGTACATACGCAGGTTTACAGCCTGACTTTAGAATCCAGTACAATTTGGCTTTAAAGATAGCAGAAGAATACACCGATATTTATAACTCATCTATTCCTATTGGTATGTTTGTAGATATATTTAGTAAACAGATACAAGAATACACTATTAAAAAAGGATACAGACCTTTTGGTACACTTCTACTTATCGTTGGTGATAATAAAATGTACAGAATAGATCCATCAGGTAGTTACGCTAGTGTACAAGTGGCAGGAATAGGTAAAGAATATGTAGAGAGTAGTAGATTACTAGAAAGAAGACGGGGAATGCTAGATGATAATATTTCTAATTGTGTAGAGTGTTTAAGAGAATATGCTGGTAGAAGTATTAGTAGTAAGGATGTAGATATAGGAGTGTACTATAATAATCTAAAAGAATTTAGAATATTTAGTAATGAGGAAGTACAAGAAGTATTTGATAGTATTAATAAATATTAATTTTTTAATTTAAGTTATATTGGAAATGTGCATAAATGAATTGTATAAAATAGTTAAATTAATATATTAAAAAAGTAATTAATTTTATTGAAGCTGTCTCTGAAGTTTCTTCATGTATTCACTAATAGGACCTTTCTCTTTTAATACTGCTACTGTATTCCCATTAGCAAGAAGACATCCTTGTTCTCTCAATCTGTTAAACTCATCTGTCTGAATACCTGTAAACCCAAATTTACTACTAACTTGTACTTCATATCTACCAGGAAATTTATGTTTACTTCTTCTTAAAGCTTCTACTGCCGCAGCTTCATTTCCTTTTTTAGTTCTAATACTCATAACAACTTGATCAAAAAATATTCTGGCAACCCTTCCCTCCGGTTTACCAAAACTCTGCCTCATGCCTGTCTGCAATCTGTCAGCACCTGCACAACTCAACATTTTATTAATTCTTAAAACATGAAATGGGTATACATTAACTCTTAAATGAAAGTTATCTCTACCTGCTGTCTTTACCATGTAATGATGGGCAGCTATTCTTGCAGCATCGAGTGCTTGCTCAGAGATATTTTCCCTAGCATGGCTTACTAAATTAATACAAGCAGGAAAATCTAGTACTTCTGCCTTTCTTCGTCCTGAATCCCATATCTTAATTTTTAAATCTGGTACAGATTTACAGAATCTTGATTTATGATAAGCTTTCTTTGAAAGATATCTATAACATCTGCCTGGTCTTCTGGCCATATAGGGGTGATAAAAAAATTTAAAAAAATGATATGAAGATGGTATACAGAATAAAGACGAGAAGAAAAAATTTGTAAACTTATTTTAAAAAAATGGTATACAGAATAAAAACGAGAAGAAAAAATTTGTAAACTTATTTTAAAAAAATGGTATACAGAATAAATGAGAGAAGAAAAAATTTGCAAACTTTTTTTATAAAAATGGTATACAGAATAAATGAGAGAAGAAAAAATTTGTAAACTTTTTTTAAAAAAATGATACGAAGATGAATGCAAAATAAAGATTGTCTTAAAAAAGGTTCAACTTTTATAATCCTTTGTTTGTTTATTCAGTTAAACGTATAAGGAATAAAAATGTAAAAAAATGTAGAATTGCGAAATGATAAGAAATATATACTTTGTTTTTTAAAATATAAAAATAATTTGTAAGTTGAACAGATGTAGTAGAAATATATGATATTTTTTTTATTTTACATTTTTGTAGAACACTACAATAAATATCGTGATTATATTTACATTTTATTATTTTTAAAATATTTGTTAAAAATAAATTACACATAACTTTAAAATTTAAAACTTATTTATTTAAACTTTTTATACTTGTTTATTAATATGTTCCATTAAAAACACTAATTATTACAAAATAATTATACTACAATAACTTTATGTATAAAATCCATTATCTTCTTTTTTGTAACATCTTCTAAAATATCTAGCGCATGCTTACTTATACTTTCTATTCCCTCTTGTTTTAACATTCTACATATAATATACCTAATCTCCACACCACTACAAACTCTAAGCCCTTTCACTATTTCACTGTCATAAATATTATATCGCATTTCTACAGCACTTCTCGTAATCTCAGCATTTTCAACTGCGCGCCGCATTATATTAGCACATCTTATAAAATAAGGCCCTGCATTATATTTAATACAATTATCCCATATAAGATCTAAATCCCTCTTAAATTCCTTATAGGTATTATATGTCCCTATCTTCTTCTGCACTGTACCAAGGTCCATTGGCTCTTTAATTATTAAATGATAATTGGGTGCTTCTTTCTTGGTAACTTTATTTAGAAAAATATGTGATTGTGGGTATCCCTTAAGCACTGATAAAACAGTAGACATCTTTTTAGGGAGAATGTAGTATCTAGTGATATAAGGTGTCTCTTCAACAAAATTTAAAAGATTTTTATTAATTTTTTTTATCATAAAAAAGGGATATAAATTTATTCAGTTTTATTAAACGGTCTAATGTTAAATCTTTCTTTTATTAATACTCTATATTTAGAATACTGGTCTACTGGTGAAAATTTTGCTGGATGTGCAGATTCAGATCCTTCTTCTTTTAATGTGTACACTTTCTGGTTATTGATAAATTTATAGAACATTGATAGGGGGAGTAAAATTATTGTGAGTTGAGTTGAAAATAAAGATATTTTATTATATAATACTAGCTTACGCCATCCCGTTTATTAAACGGGGCTTTAAATACAATGTAATCTTTTTCAAAATTTGTATCTTGTGGCAATTTTTAACGTTTATGTTTAGAAGTTCAAAATTTGTTGTTTTTTGTTCTATAAAAACTGCAGTAACACACTTTTGAAATTGGATTTTTGAATACAACACAAAAAAATATAGGGAATGATTTGTTCATAAAATAGTCAAATAAACAATATTGTTATTGCTTATAGAACAAAATTTTATAAAAAAAAGAGTTAAAAAATAAATAAATATTCAGATTCAAACTTTTTATATATATTGATGACTAGCCTACGCTGTCCCGTTTAAAACGGGACTCAAATTCGATACGTACTTTCTTTGTTTAAATTATGTGTTTATGTCTTTGTGCATGTATGTATCGTTATAAATTTGATAATTGTATTTTTTAAATAAATAAATTCAGTAATGGCGCACATTTTACAATTTGAACAATTGAATGAAACTAAAAAAATACATTTAAAATATTAAGCTGTCCATTATAAAGATAGCTATAAAAAATTGTTATTTCTTTAAAAAAACATTTCTCATAATTTTTAAAAAAGAAGGGCCAAAAAATAAATATAAATAAATGTTCAGATTCAAACTTTTTATATATATTGATGATGATGACAGATTTAAATATTAAAATGAAATTATTTATAAATCTAAACTAATCATAAAATTTATAATTTTTCAATAAAATAAAATAATTAACTAATCTTACATTTTATAATTTTAAAATCAAAATGGGATTGCTTTTTGTTTATCAAAAAAATTACCCTTTTTTTTCTGTTTATACTTTTAAAATTAAAGCAATAACAAATTTAATGCAATATCACATACATTTTAACAAATAAAATATAAATAATTTAATAAAATAATTAACTTGTAATACTTTCACTAACAACATACACGTTTTTATGTTCTTTAAAATAAATCATAATATGTCTATATTCTGTGTAAGTAACACCACCCTTAAAGTAAAAAACTGTATATTTGCTTTTATTAAATCTTTCATCCAAACAAATCCAATCATCCATTTTACCCTTTAAAATATCCTTAGCAATTTTACAAATCGGTGGCACATATGCTAATTTAATGTCTTCCTGTTTTTTAAAATCAAATTTAAGTTTTTTATCTGTACTTTTAAGAATGTTTAGTAAATTAATGTTAACACACTTATTAAGATCTTTTATATTCTCATTAAAATTATTAAAGCTAAGCTCACCTTTTTTAAACTTCTTAAGCATAAGATTTTCATTTTCACTGAGCTGTTTCTTTTCCTCAAGATTATTTATAATGCAATTATATATATCCATATGTTTTTTAACAATATCACCAAGTTTATTTATTTCTTCTATTTCTTTAATATTTATCTTTTTTATTCTTTTTTTTTTGTCAAGTTCTTTTACCATTAATTCAATATTAGTAGAAACTTCACTAATATTCTTAAATTTATTATTCTGGAAAAAATCATCATCCATACAATAAGTATTATCATAAATTTTAACAAGACCATCATTATAATTACAATACTTTTTTATCATAGCTTGATAATGCCAATCTATAATTAAAGGTGTAATATTATCATATGAACGGTTTATAACAAAAACACGCCCACCTTCAGAATTTAGGTCAATAAAAGGATCCTTAACTACATCTTCATAATTCTGTTTGTAATGATAAAAGGTAGGCTTGCTACCTAAAGAATAAATAAAATTATTAATATTATTAAGTGTAAATAAATAAGAATCTTGCTTACAAAAATCCATATATATTTCATGAATTTCTCTTATAACCCCATAGATATCATTTTTAGCCAGTAAATTTAGAAGATAAGGGTCAATAGTAGTTGTAAATAATACAGTATAAGTTCTATATGAAGGATTAGAAATTTCTTGAATGAGATTTTTAATGCTGCTAATACTTAATACACAAACACAATTAATATTTACTTTTTTTCTTGTATTTTGAATATCATCAAATAAAAAATAATCATTATTAAGGAAATGTGAATGTGGAATTAATGAACTAATAGAAGATTTAGTAAAAGTATCAAATAAAAGACATTTAACACCATCAGATGCAGTAAGTATTTTTGAAATCTTTGGTAGTAAAAAATCCATAACAAATAATAAACAAAACAAATAATTTCTTAAATGTTTTAAGTTATTTTTTATAAAAGACACAAAAGTAAAGGACTTTGATTGACTAATAAAATGCAGATTTCTTTGTTAAAAATACTTAAATCTTCTATATCATCTGAAAAACTATAACTGTAAATAAATTCTAAATTTTGACTATAAAAGCCTAATGAAGAATTAAATACAATAAGAATATAATCATTAAACTGCAAAATTTGTCTAATATTTTCTTCAACTTTATAAACATTTTCAATTTCTTCATTCTTATAAACTGAAATAATATTATCTTTAAAAGCAAAAAGATTATTTTTTATCGCACAAATGCCTGTCATTTCGTTATTAAATATTTTACATTCACATTTCTTTGTTGAATCATAAGAACCTATTACATCTACATGGCACAAATACAAAACACCTTCACTAATAGAATGTGATAAAACAGATTTCCCTATATAACTAAAGTAATGAATATCTTGAGATTTTGTATTTACCATACAAACCTTACCTGTATTATTCCAAATAAATAAAATGTTTTCAATAAAACATCCAGATGCTATATCATAAAAAATAAATATATTGCTACCCGTTTTAATCCCATCCCTACTGTAATAAGAAATAGTACCATCTAAATTAAGACAAATAAATTTAACACCATCATAAAATATTTTTAAGCAATTATTCAAAACTGATTTTGACTTAAGATTAAAAGTATTATAAAATACTATCTTGTTTGAATCATACATCACTAGAATATCATCAACAAAAAGCATCTTATCAAAAATAATATTTTTTATACCTATAAAAGATCCAAATTTAAAAGTGTAAAGAGAAGAAGACTGTTTGTCATATAAATACAAATATTCATCGTAAATAGTAGCAATATTACAAGGCTTACAAGGAGCCAATGACTTAACATCTAAACGTATTTCTATAGAACTCTTTTTTTCTAAAAGTACAGGCTGATATTCAATTTTTTTAATTTTTTCTTGTTCAATTTTTTGCATTTCAAGCAACTCATTGTCCTGTAAAATATTCACATTTATGCAATCTGAAAGTTTATTTATATTTTTTTCTTTTTTGCATAAAGAGTTTGTTTGTTTTTCAACAAAGTCAATTTTTTTATTTTTCATTTTAAAATCTTCAAAATAATTTTTATTTTCTTCACTAGAACTATTTGTTTTATCAAAAATATCTTCTTTTGTATCTTTTATTTTTCTTTTCTTTTTTACCACTACATCACAAAGATGTAATCTGTCTAATGAAAATGTATTATTACAAACTTTTACTTTTCCATCTTTAAAATGTTCAACACCATACATGTATTGTAAACCATATGTGAGTATTTTTTCTAGTGAAATATCGTGTCTTATATTTTTCAGATCATCTTTACTTTCATTTTTAAATACAAATGCTGTATAAATAAATGATTCTTGTTTAAAATAATTTAGAATAAGAGAGTTAATTTCTGATTTTGCCAGTTTAATCATAAGGGTTTGTAAAATTAAAAAATTTCTCCCTCAAAAAAGTGTATGAATATTAAAAAAGAAGAAAATGATTTTGATATAGAAGATAGCATGAAGTGTACTTTATCTTGTTTAAGTAAAGAAGATGAAGATATGTTTTGTAACTCACAAGAATTTTATATGTCACAGGAAAATAAAAATAATGTTGGAGATATTAATTTTACAAATAAAAGAAATAATGGTTACGTTAATGAGCAGGAAAATAATGATAGTTTAGAAAATAAAGATAGTTCAGAAAATAAAGATAGTTTAGAAAATAAAGATAGTTCAGAAAATAAAGATAGTTTAGAAAATAAAGATAGTTCAGAAAATAAAGATAGTTCAGAAAATAAAGATAGTTTAGAAAATAAAGGTAGTTCAGAAAATAAAGATAGTTTAGAAGAGGAAAGTGATTTAGAAGATTTAACAACAGAAAGCTCAGATGAAGATATTGTAAGAAAAAAACGACCAATCAAAAGGAAATCTTTTTCAAAACTAAAAAAAAAGCCAAAAGTTGTTGAAAAGAAAAAATCTACAAAAAAGGCATCTAGTAAAAATAATTCTGATACACAAGAAGAGGTTAACAAATATAATTTAAAAAACGATAAACTAAAAGTATTTGATTTTTTGTATAACATTAATAGACCGGTAAGCAGTGCAGAACTTTTACTAAATTTTAAGAAACAGATTACTAATTCATCTTTACAAACTATTTGTACTAAATTAGAAGAGAAAGGTCTTATTATTATGAAATTATATGCAAAGACAAAGATTTACATGATTTCACCCAGTGTATTTGATATGAGTGAATTAGAAACTAATAAAAATAAATTAAAAGTACTTGCAGATGAAAATGAATTATTAAAAAAGACTTATATTTCATTAAATAATGAATATAAAAATTTTCAGAGTATGGACACAGAGGAAGAATTAGATAATAAAATTGATGAGTTAAATAAAAAAATTACAATTTTACAAGACAGAGTGCAACTGCGTGATGAAGGTCTTTTAGTCAGTAAAAAGGAGATTGAAAATTACAATGAAAAGGTAAAAAAAGTTATAAAAATAAAAAAAGAAAGAAGTAAAATTTTAAATGATATTTTAGAAATGCTGTGTGAAAATATGAATATAAAGAAAAAAGAATTAGTTGAGGAATTGGAACTAGAAATGTAAAGCTAAAAAATTTGTGCTCGCACAGAAATATTTATATTAGTTTTATTAAAAATCGTAATCTACATTTATTACTGCATTTAAAAAATTTATAAATAATTATTTAATATTATACAAATTTTAAAAATTAATAAATAATTATTTAATATTATACAAATTTAAAATATTTATTTACCCTGTTTTAAATCAAATTTTATATTCAAAGCCTTTTCAAAGGCTCTTGCTATATTTTTATCAAAATTAGCAGTCCCCTTTTCCCACTCCTTTACAACACTTACTTTTTTATCCATTTTTTTAGCAAGTTCTTTTTGGTCTAATTCCAATTTTACACGTGCTTCTTTAATTTTATCTTGTACATGCTTTGGTACAAGTTGTAAAGTAACTTCATCATCTAAAGTAACAGTATTTTGTTTTGGTGCAGGTTTATTTTTACGAATGATAATAGGCTTATCATAGTTCATAAAAGGGTTAAAATATAAAAGCATTTTTAAATGTATTGTATTAACAACAAATTGAATAGATGTAAATATTACATATTTCTTGTAGTAACGTTATAGTGTATTATTTTGATAAATTACTATAGGATTATTCTTATATTTAATAAATAATGTAAAAGAGGGAAAGTAATTGTTGGAACAAAACATGGGTTTATTTATTACAAAGTATTTAAAGAAGACAAGTAAAATGTCTCACAATGTAAAATGATTATTTGACAGCTAAGTATTCCTACAATAATAGCATTGTATAAGATATATTAATAAACAAAATTAATATATCTTTTATAAAATATAATTATACAAATATTATGTGTAAGTATTCATAGTTTCTATAGCATATCATTAAAAAAATTTCTAATAAAGTGTTTTTATTTACTGTTGTTTTGCACAGAACAATCAATAATAATTAAACAATTCTGATGTAAGCTCCTCATTTTCTTTTATCACTATTCTTATTGATCGCTATGTTATAGTCATAATGATAACTACAGCAATTGATGCATATTAAGGGGAGAAATTATGTTTTAAATAAACAACAATCTTTACCACAGGTCAGATTGTATAGTACTTTTGTGCAAAACAAACATTGTTCAAACTTAGCTTTCATCAAATGTCTAGTAAGTAAAGAAAAGTTTCTATTTATTTTAAAAAGATGTTTTCTTGGGAAGGTTGTAGTCTTTACAGGCTGTTATGTAAAATATGAATATTAATTATTTTATATAAATAAATAAATATTGTAAGACAAGTCAACGGGTTTAGAAGTTTTGAAGACGGCCTGTAATGAATAAAAACTTATATATGTATTCTAGTAAGGCAAGTCAAGGGTTCGAGTCCCAGCGATGAAAGTCTGTTAAGTAATAACTGGGCGTTGACACAACAATTATTATAAAATATTTGTCGGTAAAATCGTATCGTAAGCTTTTTTGAAGATATTGACTAAGGGTTGTAAATGTTTTAGAGTTGCAAGGAGGCATAACATCTTTGGGGTTAGCATGACAATTGCCGTGTGGCCGTGGAAGAATTTGTAGGTTCTATTTGGAGAGTTATAGTAAGAAATTACATCTGAAGACCCGCTTGAAAAGAATGAAGCAAGCTAGTGAAGCTTTAGCATTTTGTGTATGATAGTTGGAGTTTAAATCGAAATATTGGGTCTATATTGTCTCTACAGATGATACAGTGAAAGCCCTGGTCTAGTAGCGCACTACCAGTTTACAGTCCTTTATTATTCTTATGGAGGTTAATAAAAATCTTCCTACAAAGCAAGGCTTTTGTGTTTTGCTAGCGCATATAATACATATATGTTAAGATAAAAAAAAAGTATAAAACAAGTAAAAACAACTAGTTGAGGAGTTAAAGTAGTATAAAACAGTAATGTAATGTAATCTAAAAAATTATAGATCCCGCTTTGAAATCTAAAAACTGACATTTCTTCAATGAGAATTAATTAATTAACAAATAAATTATTAATTATTATTAATAATAAGATAAATTAAAGGGTATTTAAATCATAAATAAATGAAAATTGTTAAGGTAAGAATATTCAGGTAACTTCAATTTATAGATTAAAACACTATTATAAATTGTAATAGCACCATATGTGACTATAAAAGAGTCTACACTATAAAGTTAAGAATATTTTAGATATCTGTACATCTACTTGTTACATAGCTTATTTTTTAGTTAAATTCTTCTTTATATTTTAATCATGTTAGGTATCATTATCCTCTTTAAAATTTTTTAAAACGTCTAATTGAAAATGTTAATTTATAACATTTAGTTTAATATGGTAATATTACCATATATAAATTTTATAAATTATATTTCTGCTAGTCTGTTACTCTTTATTATGCAATATTATAAATGTAAAAGCTTAGATAAAATCATAATTCTTTCTTTAATTCCTTAATCTATAAAAAAGATTTTTGCTAGATATTTAAGATTGTTTTACTTGTTTTAAATGTAAACTTACTTATTCTTTAAAAAATATCAACTTTTAAATTCTTTTTTTTAATCAACAAATTTAAGAAAGAATTTAAAAGTTGATATTTTTTCATGTCAGGCATATGTGTAAGACTAAAAAAGATAACTAAATATTTATTTTTATTTAACAATAATTATAAAGTTTTACTTACATTTGTTAAAACTATTTGTGTACAAAATTTATATTTTTATTTTCCCTATCAAATTTATAATTATTATAATTAAAAATAATTTGTTTCTTTTTAAATGTAAAAATTAACATTTTAAAGTTGAAGTATAATGCATATCTAAATCTATATTTTTACTACTTAGTCATTTTTTAAAAAGTGGCGTGTTCTGTTTTTGATTGAATAAATGCAAAACCTGTGACGTGTCAATAAATTTGTAATTAGTTTATCAAAAGCTTATATTTAACTACAGGTAAAATTTGACTTTATTAAACAATAATGTAATAATTTTATTAAATATTTTTAATAAATCAATTATTTATTGATTTTTTCTTAATAAATTTATAAATTTATGTTTTTATTAAAGCTTAGAAAAAGTAAGTATCTTAAAATACTTATTTTTAAGTAGTTTACAAAAAATATAACAATTAGTAGTATAATTAAGCATTCTAAGCGAATAATGTAAAAGCTTTAAAATAAAGTAATTTTTTATAAAAATTTTAATGTTTTATTTGATTGTATCTTGTGACGTACTACATATCTAACATTTTTATTGTTTATCTAAGATTATATTAAATAAAGCATAATATTAATGTTATATAAAAAAGTATAAAATTATACTTTTTGATAAATCAACACAAAAAGTTTTTTATTAAAAAATTATATATAGTAAGTTCTAAACATTTAAATATTTATAGATAATAGTTTTTTATTAGACCACTTAAAACAGTATTATATCATCTTTTAAAACATTGTTTTGTTTAAAAATTAATTAATAAAATATTTTTTTTACTATTTAAATAATTTTATACCTACCACCATGATCGATATTAACAAACAGGAGCTAACTGTACAGGCAGCACTGGGAATAATAAAATTAAACAAATCTGGCAGAGAAGAGGATGTTGATTTTATGAGAAATAAAAAGACTATTTTTCAAAATACAATATTAAAAGAAGTATTCAAATTAACTAAATATCCATCTACTCAGACTAAAACAGATTTAGGTATCTTACTTGATTTATCTGTAAGAACAATACAGATATGGTTTCAGAATGAAAGAAGAAATAAGAAACATGAATCTATTGGTGAGGAAAAATCATATAAATGTGAAGTAGGTCCATTGAAGCTGTGGAGAATCTACAAAAAAGCGAAAAACTTTATTTTTTATATTTAGGAATTAATGTGAATAAAAAAAATTCTCGGTAATGTTTTGAAAAATATATTAAAAATCAATTTTTTTTATTAAATTTTACTGATTTCCATTTTTGGTAATTGTTAAAAAATTTCCAGATAAGAAAATAAGGATAATAAAACTAAGAGGAAATAATTTTTTTATTATTTACACTTAACACCTTTCTACGCAATATATTTTTTTAATTTATCAGTAAAATCACCTGCAATTATTTTAATTAAAAACTGAATTTGTTTGTAAAACACCAACAAACTTAACTTTTGAAAATTGTAAATCTAGGTTTTAAGTATTTCAATATCAAACCTTTAATTATAAAAGCGTGAGAGAATTTTGAACCCCTTTGAAGACCATAATTATTATTTAAAAAAAATAAAAACATTATTTATTGCAATATTTTAGCCTGAAAAAATATTTTTTATTGTCTTTTTTGAATTATAAAAGTTAAAGACATTTGTAAAGTTAATTGGATAATATTAAAAGGATAATTTTAATTATTCTGTAAAGAACGGCTTATAAATGATTAATAATATTATAAATTATTTGTTGTCTAAGAAAGAAATTAGTAATACTTATTTGTTTACATATAGGTGTTATAAATTATTTTATTTGTAAAATAACGTGCTATAAAGATAATCAGTTTGGTTATAAAATAGTTTTCTTATTAAATCTAATTTTTTATAATCTTAACTGCCAATAATCAAATAAATTAAATTTATTTGGGTAAAGGTAAAATAAAAATAATTAAATTGTTTATTGATTAGTTCTTATAAGAGAAACTTCAGTTTGGCAAATTATTTTTTTAAGCACATTCATATTTTTTCAGATAAAACAACATCATAGTTATTAATATTATTAAATCCTTAGCTTAATCTTTTGTACCTTTTGTTTATTTTTTATTGCTTAATCCCCCTCCTTTAGATAAATCTTCTTTCATTAATCTTAGCACAGCATATTATCAACGTTAGCATGCCACAAAGGACTTGCTTTGTAAAAAGATATCTATTATTCTCTGTAAGAATATTACAAAACTTGATAGTACGCTACTAGGCTACGGGTTCATTGGATCATTTGTAGAGACAATTGGATTTAATGATTGTGATAAGCTCTCATCATCTCACGCGAAATATGCTAGAACTTCACTAGCTTGATTTGCCCCCACCAGGCGGTTATTTAGTTGTAATTTCTTACTATAGGTCTTCGAATAGAATTTACAAATGTTTCCATAGCGATGGCAATTATGTACTAACCTAATGACGTTATGCAACCTTCCAACATTTAGGACGTTTACAACCCTTAGTCGACCCTACAAAAAGGCTTGCGATGCGGCTTTACCGACAAATATTTTATGAAAATTGTTGTGTCAACGCCGAGCTATTATTACTTAAAGAATTCACATTTCTGGGATAAATTTATTTAAGTATAGGTAATTGTTGGCTTTTCTAATCTAAGCTGTGTCATTACTATCCTTTCTGATGTTAATACTTCTATTAATTCATTTTCTCCAACTTGCTTTTCTAAATATATAAGCTAACATTATATTTTTGTATAAATTTGTGACACCTAATTCTAGTTTTTTAGTTTGATGCTTAGACATTTATGTTCAAAAGTTGTGACCTTTAAGACTTTTAATATTTTATAGTAGTTTAAAATTTAAAATTGTTTCTGTAAGATTATAAATGTATATGAGAGACATTAGTCTATTATTTTTTAATTATAAAAATTCCACTGACATTTTAGTGTGTTTTAAGTGTTTTACATTAGTAAATATGTTTAAAGACAGGGTTGAGTATAAAGCTTTTAAAAATTTAGTTAAAAACATTTATTTTCAATATTTACAATCATTTTACAGCATCGATTTTGGTTAGAACATTATACGATTTTTTATTTGGGCAAATTAGCTTTTTTGGGATGTTAAGATCTTAAAGCTGATTTAACTGTAACTTTGTAAACCTGGTCACTAAAAAGTTTTTTGAAGTAAACGAAAAAGTTAAAAGGTAAGTGGCATGTAACTGTACTATTTGTATAAAAAACATATTCTTTAAGGATGATTCCTTAAATATTTAAAAAAGGTGCTGAAGCATCGCTGTCCTCGAAGATAAATTATTACTGAGATAAAAGTGAAACCAGATACACTATAGAATTGTCGAGATTGGATATATAATATGAAATTTTTGACATACTAAAATAATTTATTAAAAATTTTTTCTTAAAATGTTTAAGTCATTTAATTATTTGCTATAATAAAAATTAGCAGTAAATAATAAAGTTTTATTGAAACATTGGACAAAATAAAGGGTAAAATAGAAACAAGAGAATATAATAAATGTGACAATACAGAAAATTAAAAGTAAATCAAGAATACTGTCAGATTTAGACATGCTAAACACCAATCGTAGTTTAATAACGGTAATATGTATAAATTGTATGATTTATAACTTTCAAAATTTACAATAAATTAATATATAAATAGTGGTAGATCAATAAAATAAACAAAAATCTAAGATAAAATTATTTAAAAAAATAGAAAGTCTTTATTAATCTCTTGAGAACACAAATTTCTTAGCATTTAATTTTTTTTAGAAGTGAAAAATGTACTTCTTTTTATTTTTAAGGAGCTAAAATTATCTCGGCTATTGTCCTGTACTGAAAAGAGTTTACTGTATTTTAAATAATACTTAATTAAACTGTTTATTATTTTTCGCGTTTGTTTAAAATTTCTGGAATCACGTCTATTACTGTCTACACAACTACTCATATCTCTTTAAGAATTTATCTGCCCTTCTTTTTATAATTTTTATTTATACTTCAAATAAAAAATAGAAAGAAATCTATCAAACTAAAATAAGACAGATTGAATTTTAAATTGATTATTTAAAGTTCATTGTGATATTTTATATTACATTTATAAAAAGTTTTTCGTTCAAAAATATATTTTGTCTGGTTATATTTCCTATGATCTTAAAGAAATCATGTAATTGTTAATGTTCGTTTTAAATTTTAAAACATTTTGCAAGCTTTGAAAAATTTAAGGCTAACTTGTTGCATATTTTTAAAAAATTTAAAATAGATAGCTATAGGCATAAGTATAAATGTAAGAATTTGGTGTGGCGTCAATTAACGTTTTTTATGTCAAAAAAATTAAGTAATAATACCAATATTAAGTTTATATTCTGTATTTAGTAGCTGTTTAAAGAAACCTTAGACAATTTTGCGGTGTTTAAATTTAAGTGCTATTAATAACTATACTTTGTCTGACAGTGCATTATTGTGACTGAAGAGATACGCTTGATAATAATGTTCGACAAAGATTAATGACACGTTTGATACAACAACAAAAAAAAATTAATACAAAGATATGAATAATTTATAATCCAAATTAATTTACGTTGGATAGATTAATATATAAAATTATGTATTAAACACAACAGAATAAACAATACTTTGAAAAAGTTTAACAATGAAAATTAAAATTAAATCATTTAAAGATTTTACTTTGAGGTTAAAAAATTTTTTAAATCATTTTTTTTCAAAGAACTATAACACAAAGTGCTTACAACATTATGAAAGTATCATAAAATCATAATCTAAAGATTAAATTAAATTTATTTTTATTAATTTGTATCCAAATCACTTTTTTTAAAAATAAAATATTTTCTGATACTATTACTTGTAAAAGATTTATAAAAATCTAAAACACAAAATAATTATGATTTAAAAGAAGAATAAATGTTTTTATTAAAATTTAAGATAAGCTATTTTCTTGTAAAATATATAGATATCTGTCATGCCCTCAAGAGCTGACCGACGGTAATCAATAAAGATTTTTCAATTACAATAAAGTATAGATTCTTCCAGTAACCAATGAATTCTTGTATCAATTATAAAGTATTTAACTAACTTTTAAATAAAATATATTCTCTATGAAAGCCTTAATTTAACACAAGTCTATATACCCTCCGTTCTTACAAAGCCGACTATCGCATATAGGCACGATAATATCATTAGATGTTAATTAAGATATAAACTGTAATCATACTGATCAATTTTATTTATTTAAGTAATTTTTTAAAATTTAAAAATCTGAAACATTAAAATTATTGAGAGCGTCTTGAATAAGTCTTTTTCCAAAAAATAAATTTTGTCTTTAAGAAAAAATTAAGTATCTATTTTAAAATAATGATACATCTTTTAAGTATCTAAAAAACCACTATACACTGTAGAAATCAATATTTATTGATTTTTTACTAAAAAATTGGCAAAATAAAACGATGTAAAATTTCTTGATTTAAAAATTTTAAACGAAAACGCTTCATAAAATCGATCTTGGAATTACTAAATATATTTTTTTTTTAAAAAAATTAAGTTTTTTCAGTTTCGTCAAATAGTAAAACAGATAGAAAATTAGTGACTTAATTTTCTCCTGTACCATTGCATTAATTTTACTAATTTTTGTTATTATAAAAATATTAAAAGAAGACAATTAGGTTAAATCACACTCCATTTCTGAACGTTTTTGTCAAAAAGATTATCTAATTAACATATAAAATTTCTAAGGATCATAAAATATAAATCAAATAAGTAATTAAGCAAAATCAAGATTAAAGCAATATATTAAAGAAGAGTTACATAAAACGATTTTCTTGCCTCAGCTTATACAATATTATTTATGGATGCGCAAAATTACCTATTTTTAACTTTTTATACAAATCAAAAAAAAATTTGCATATAATTAAAGGTTTTAAAGAAATGTATTGACAATTTTCTTCAAATTTTAAGCTTTTCCTACACGAATAGTAAAAAATAATTTTATAGATTATAAATTTATTAAAATAATCACCAATTTCAATTCTAAATTCACAATGTTTCTTACTTGTAAACACCAAATTTTTTTCTTTTTTGTTGCTCATACTTTTAAATACTTTCAAATTTATCAATAAAACCAAAAATGTTGAAAAACGCCAAAGTACTTTATATATTTTTCTGTTTTCATGATCATATTTAGATATTTTTTTTGATCTAAGAAAAATTTTTTGCTAAAGATTTTCTATCATATCGATTTCTTCAACATCAGTTTTAAAAACAAAATGAAAATTATTAATCTCTAAGTTAAAATGTAAAAAAGCTTTATTTTTATCTATTATACATCCAACTAAATTATAAAATCTTAATGTATCTACAAATCCCTATTCATATTAGTAATCCTATCCCTGCATATCTTTTTACATAGGTCGTCATATTTTTTAGAAACCTAATAGCTTTTTTTGAATATAAAAATGTAGTTGAAATGTTGTTATGTAAAAAAGCTGAAAACAGTTTATTTCCATGCACTAAGGTTACGAAACGATTTTTAAAACATATTCATACACATTTCACCTCTGACGTAAAAAAAACTAAATTGTGTAGGAAATTAAAGATACATCATTGTTGGATGAATTTCTTTAAATAATTTTAAAGGAAATTAATGGTTGCGAGTTATTATAGTACACCAATTAAGGCCACTTAAGAGAGTAAAACGAATCATGATTAGTCAACTCGCAAGAACCAACAAATATGCAACGAATAAAAACTAATTATTTTGAGCTTCTACAAATTGTATTATTTAACCACCTTTCCAATTCTTCTTTCTAAATTATCAAAATTTTGATACTTGTAAGCTACCAAAAAAAGTTTTTCTTCATTTTGCCATAATTTATATAAAAAAAGCCTTACACACAATAGATAAATACAAAGTGCAGTTAAATAATTTTTTTATTATAATTTATAAATAGTTATTTATATTCAATATTATTTTATACTATTTTAAATATTGTAAAAAATCTGTTTTTTTGCGAACGTAATATTTGGCCGTTTTCTTTTTTTAGGCGCTATAATTAAACATAATAAAAGAAATAACAAAAAATACATTTAAAAGCTTTTAGAATCAACTTTTTAAATAAACAAATTTTTATTTTGGGTAATATTTTTTAATAAAAGTACAGTGCACGTTTAAATCTTAAGAAACCTAAAAAATTTTCCGTGCAAAATAAATCAAAACACAATTATAAATTATGATTTGTGTATAAACTATGTAGAACAAATGAGTATTAAACCAAACTGTATCAAATCTCGTTCTTTATAGGTCTAGCCTGTTTTTTGGATTTTTTGTTTTAAGAGGTGCGTCAAAATTTAAAGAAACCCCACTAAAAACACGTTTTTTAATATTAAATAAAGTTTTTTTTATTTTATTGAAATAAAGCATTATGTATTTTTATCTTATAAAATAAAGCTATTACAAATAATTAGTCTTATAATTAAACAGTTAGCTCATTAAATTCAAATTTTAAAATACAAAACACATGCTTAAAATAATAATACATGTTTTTTAACCCTTAAAGAAACGAAATATAAGAGACGAAATTGCTTTGATGAGCAACTACGAAATCATAATAATGTTATTTAGATATAACATATTAAAAAACCAGCAACTTTGATTTATTGCAATATAAATATGGTCTTCAAGATTAGTAAACGGCATATAGATGAATTTGAGTGGAGATGCATGCAATATGCATGTATCAAATATCAAACCAACTCTTTCTATAAGATATGGTTCAATTCTTTCATTATTTAGAATTAATCTTAAAACAATTTTGGAGTCCATCTATTATTTTTAATTGGGCCTTGGGTTTACAGCTATTATCGAGCTAGTTTAGATTAAAAAGAGCCATTATTAGCATTAAAAAAATTATAGCCTTAATGATAAACAATATTTTGTAGATAATCCTATTAAACTTGGTGGCCCCAACATTATTGTACAAAACGACGCGACAAAATTAAATTTTAATGTAAAAAATTATCGTGGTCAACATATACCTGCGTGTTGGGCTTTAATAATTGTTGATACTTCATTTGTTACAGCTTCGGGTTATTCTGTTATTGTTGAAAATCGTTTTGCAGAAGTATTACTATCTACAATAAATCAGATTGTAATTCCTAGTAGTATTATAGTAACAGACGAATGGAAATATTATTCATCACTAAATGAATCAAATATATATCAGCATCAAACAGTTTTTCATAAATATTGCTTTGTTGATCGTAATACTGGCACACATCAAAATTTAGAGTCTTATAACAATAAACTAAAATTGGCAATTAAAAAAATGAAGGGTTTAATTTTAGAACAAAGAAAGTTTTTCTACATGAGTTTATGTACAGGGAAGCACCACGCAGATGATAAATTTACATCTATAATTAAATTATTTGAGTTTTAATTTTTTTTCTTTTTACGGGACGCCCAATGGACCTGATCTAAAACCGGGGCGTCTAATTGACCTGATCCAAAACTTATTCTTATTGAAGGTAAAATGAATGCTTAATACTATTTATATTTTATCTGATAATTTATCTGATTTAGTTAGGTTAGTGGTTCTGCAAGATTACATTTTCAACAAGACAATAATCTCAAGCATACTGCAAAGGTGTATTTCAAGTCAAAACAATTTAAACTTCTTTCTTGGCCTACACAATCTCCAGATTTAACCCCAATTGAGACACTTTGGGCTATTATAAAGCAAAAATTATCACAATCTCGCCCCAAAAATTTAAATGAATTGAAAGAAACAATAGTACGGTAATGGCAGCAAATTCCATTAGAATTGTGTCAAAAATTGGCTTTAGGCTTTTACAAAAAATCTTTAGCATGTTTAAGGGCAAAATGAAATCATACTAAGTATTAAAATAAAAATATTCCTTTTTTTTAAACAACTTTTAAAATTTATCGTTTAATGTAAAGAAAAAAAAAGAACCAAATACGCTGTAAAAACGTACATTAAAAAATTTTACATGTAAAACAAATCAAGTTTTACTATAACTTGGCTTACATAAAGCTCCGAAAAATATTCCTTTTTCTTGAAACATACTGTATATAGTATGCTACGTATGCCTAGAAAGCAATTTTACTATACTTTAGGTTATAGTATAGTAGTATGACATCATTATACACAATCTAACTTATTAGTTATTAAAGTAAACTAATTAAAAAATATAAAAGGCAAAATTCAATTAGTTATCAAAGTAAACTAATTAAAAAAAATATAAAAGGCAAAATAAATAAAGTAAAAAAACTATCAAGCTGTAACTGATAAATTAATTAATATTATTTAACTAAAGAGAAGTGCAAAAGATTTGAAAAAACAAAAAAATAATATTTAAATGTATATTTTGTCAATCTAATGTGCTTTAAATAAGTATGACTTAAGACGTCCATATTCACAAGTAGAACTTTTTATACAAAGTTTCAGAAAAAAGTTGTAACACATCTTCTTACGTACATATCTATTTTTACATTGTAGCTCATGTCTACAAAATCCTCTATTGTACCATGCACATTCCCTCTTATTAACAACTGAATGGGGATAGAAACATTTTGGATTTGTAAATTCACCAAGCTTACATAAAAAATAACACTTCTAAATTTTCTTAAGATCATATTCGTGTATAAATTTGCATTTCTTTCCTTTTTTACACAATTTTCTAGGCCAATGCTTACATATTACAGCTGTAGAAAGCTTAATGTGATGTTTGTCACAATCAGGATTATAACAGTGATTTGTCTGATACGAACGACAACAAATATTGTTTACTGGAAACACAGTTAATCTTTAAAATAAAATCTCATTATGCTTAAGAATATTAAAGTTTTTTACAAAAAAATTTTTTTATGGTCTTATTAATAATGAAGTACAGCAGTAGTCATAAAAAATGCAATCTTTTTAAAACTATGTAATATTTTTTGTGAGAAAATATTAACTTGCAAAATAAATAGTTTACACAAATGCATAAACAGGGTTTGTCAAATCTTGTGAAAAAAAGTTTGTAATTGTAAAATAATTTAAAATTAGTTAGACCCGCCGGTCAAAAAAATCGAAATTTTTGATTTGGAGGGAAAATTTTTTGTTGTGTTTTTTTAAAAAATAAAAAAAATTTAAAAGTTAAAATTTAAATCCATGACAAAAAAGCTTTCTCTGGAAGAAAAGGTCGAAATTAAGGTATGTTTAAAAAAAGGAATGAAACAATTAAAAGTTGCTAAAGAATATGAGATATACCCTTCAACCATCATACGATTTAAAGTAAAACAAAAAAAACAGGAATTTGTAAGGGGAATATCGGATCAGGCAGGCCCAATATTCATAAAAATGATGATTTATAATTTCTGAAAAAAAATTTTGAAGACTTAACACTTCGTAACACAAAACTGAATGAAGATATAAAAATAGAACATGGAAAAACAAAATCTGCAAGGACTATAAGAATAAAATTATGTGAAATGGTGCTTTTTGGTCGTGTTTCTTATTAAAAACCCCAATTGTTAAAAAAAAATTTTAAGTCAAGATTGGAGTAGGCTGAAAAATATGCTTAGTGGTTAGATGAGAGATAGTATAGTATAATTTGAAGTGATGAATCGAAAATAAATCTTTATGGATCTGATGGAAAAAGACATGTGCGAAGGAAAAAAAGTGTAAGATATGATAAAAAACCCTTACCACAAATGTTAAGCATTGATGAGGCAAGTAATATCATGGTATAGACATGTTTTTCAACAGATGGTGTCGAAAATATACATAAAATTGAGTGAGTAAAGATTCAAGAGAATATGCAAAAATTTTAGACACGAATTTGGCAGGTTTTGCTAAAAAACTTAAATAAAAATTATATTATTCAACAGGATAACAGTTCAAAGCATACAAGCAAGTATGTGAGAGAATATTTAATAGATAGAGAAACTAACACTATGATTTGGTCTGTAAAATACCCGATTTGAATTCTACCGAGAATTTATGGCCAATTGTTAAGATTAATGTTGCTAAAAGAAGACCAAAAAATAAATTACAGTTAGAGAAATTTACTATCGAAGAATGGAATAAAATCGATAAAAAAACATGTAAAAGATTGGTTCAAACTATTAACAATCATTGTAGAGCCGTAATTGGTGCACGAGGTGGCCATACTAATTATTAAAATATTTATTGCTTTTTTTCTATTCAAATTTTTTTAAAAGAAGTTATTTAAGGCATTTTTATAGTGTAAATTTTAAATTTAATTTAATGTATAGATCTAAAAATGAAACTTTAATATGTAATATAAATTCAATGCCATATAAAAAAGTTTATTTATTCAAATTAAAATTGCGTTTTTTATGGCCACTATTGTACCTAAATTTCGTATGTTTATTTTTGTGTTAAGTTGCAGTGAATCATCACTTCTTTAGACAAAAACTGGGTTTCAAAGATTTACTTTTATAGCAAAAAAAATGAATTCTGATGTTAGCCAAGAGAGCCGTCAATATGTAAGTCTTTTACAAGATAAATATTTTTTGTCTAAAGGTTGTTTAGTGAAGAAGTTTAAAAATCTTTGAAAAAAAGATAGGCAGGTTTGTGTAGGTGAAAACAATGATGATAATTTTAATAAAAAAGAAAAGAATGAAATTATTGATAAATTATTAATGATCTGAATTTGAGGCACTTTAGGAAGACAAACATAAGAATAATAAATTTACAAAAGATGAAAAGAGGAAAACCACAATATTAAAAGGTTTTAATTAAATTATTTTATGATTAAAACTTTTACCTGTAATCTACAAATAAATTTATTATTTTAAATTTAAAAAAAGGTTTATTATTCTTTTGAAAATAAAAAAGTTTTTTACCATTGTTATATTATTTTAAAATTGTATCAAATTTATTTTTTAAAGGATCAATTACAAATTAATAGCAATCAGTATTCTCTGTTCAAGTTTATTGTTTCTTGTTGTTGTTCATTTTTTTTCCGAACAAACCAAAAGTCTAAGTATTCTATTTTTATAATATTATTATAAATAATCACAAGCCCAAACCGCGATCGCGGTTTAATTTATTTTTTGCTGTATTCTAAATTAAAAATTATACCATTATTTGTTAATAAGTTACCAACGCCTATGTGCAAATGACCTAGGATTGTATTCCCGAACAGAAGCATATATACAAACAAAAGTTTTCAAGATGATACCGAAAAGCTTTACTATTGCCTGTCGTTGGAACTTGATGCTTATCTGATGTTTGAATTAATTACTAAGAAGGAATATTTAAGATAATGTACTCGATTTTAGAAGCTTCGAAGACGGGCTGTAACGAATCAAAACAAGAAAACTTATATATACCCTAAAAAATATATTTATTTTATTTACTTTTTAAATTTTGTTTATTTTTTTTAAAAATTATGTCATCTTAAATAATATTTTTAAATTAAATCCGGGATTTTAATTAAATTTTTAAAAAGATAAATTAAATATTTATAATGTAAAATTAATAAAAGATAGCTAAAAGATGTAAAATTAAACAAACATATACACATTTACTGATAAATCATATGTTAGATTGCATCATAACATAAAGATTATTTTTATAAATCATAAATGTTCATTCCA